CATATAATGATTGCTGGGCAGTAAACCGAATCAACCAGAAACGATCATCAGAATCATCAGAAACTATATAGCATTTTTTGTTTGAGAAGAGAAGAACAAAAAGAGAGAAGCGGCCGAGAAGATGGCGCGTCACATAATGGCCGTTTGTGTGGTCTGTCTCCTCTGCGCCCATCGCCTGCACTGCCAGGATCATGTGGAGAGCCTGCTCGCAGGCGCCACCGTGATGCACAGCCAGGAGCAGCTTAATGCGCGCGTCTACACCAGTCTCTCCTCCAGTCCCTCCAGTGAAACCACCGATCAGAGACAGCAGCTAGCTATCGACGATACCCAGAATTACAGCACAAGTCCGCCCTCGAGGAGAGACAAACGGCATGCCGAGCATGGCCATGGCCATTCCGAGCCACCTGTCCCGCAGATCACCAAGTACTTTCTCGAAAAGCTGATGGCCCAGCAGGGGGCGATGGACAGCAGTGGTTTCAACAGTTTCCTGCAGCAGATAAACCTACACTCGATGGTGGCCTCCAGCGAGGGTACCGTAAGTAAAGGTTCGCTCTTCTTTTGTGGTTCTACATTAATGTATCCCCCTCTCCTCAGTGCGTGCCTGCTAGTCGCCTGGTGCATCATGTCCAGCCCCACGATCTCTCCCATCACAGTCACAGTCACAGTCACAGCGAGGAGTCGCAGGTGGCGGAAGGAGAGGAGCTCAAGCTAAAGAACTGCACCCTTAGCAATAATGGCACCAACTCCAACATTGTATGCGCACCTGCCCTGCTCCAACACAACAGCAGCTCCATCGAGGGGCCCACCAACTTTACACTCAGCGAACGAGATATGCTACATCTGTGTCCTGTGCTGCTGCACGAACTGAAGGCCCAGACTGGCGGCTGCATAGAGCTGGATGTGCTGGCCGAGATCGATAGCACGGAGAAGCTGCTCGTCGCAGAGAAGGATATGTTCTATGGTGCGTTGAATCTAATGTCTGCTGTTTTTTTGTTGTCTTTTAATGAAATTAATCTTCTGTTTCAGTGTGGGTCTATGCATTCATTTCGGTGTTTGCCTGCGGCATCTTAGGCCTGGTTGGGGTCGCCATCATACCCTTCATGGGCTCCCGGTATTACAAGCACATTATACAGTATCTGGTGTCGTTGGCCGTGGGGACAATGACTGGCGATGCTCTGCTCCATTTACTGCCGCATGTGAGTATGGGCATGGGGTTGTTGACGTTAGTTCCTTTGTGATTTCTAAATTCTTTTCTTGTTTTCTCTTTCGATGGCAGTCGCTGGCAGGGCAGGACGAGCGAGGAATGATCATGAAGGGATTGGGCTGCCTGGGCGGCATCATATTCTTCTACATTACAGAACATGCTCTGACCATGATCTCCGAGTGGCGGAAGAGCGTGGAGAAGAAGGAGACAAAGAAGCCGTCGCGTGCGAAGGTGATGCGTGATCCGGACTCGTCGGTGAACAACTCCGTGGCAGGGGACAAGATCTGCAAGCAGAAATACAGCTCCTATCCGTACTGCTACGATGAGATTACGATGAACAACAAGCAGAGCGAGTGGATGCACCTCCCCGGCGACGGAGTGGCTGCGTCCGTGGCAGGGGCAGGTGGGGATGCGGCGTCCGCCTCTGAGGTACGCAACGGACTCGCCGATCACGATGGTTCCAGTGAAATGGCAGCGGCCGCCGAGTCTCTTCTCTCCACGCTGCACACGAACTGTGTAGAGATGAACCACCACAACCACAATCACAAGCATAATAACCACCAGCAGCAGCAGCATCAGGAGGCACAGGACAACAATACCATTGTCACGGATCTGGATGGCAATGCTGTGTATGCCGCCTCGAACAGCAACAGCAAGGTGGTGGATGGCAAGGACGGAAAGAACGATCATGTGACTGTGATTCTAAGGGAGCACGAGTCCTCGCATCATGGCCATAGCCATCGCCACGGGCATGTCCATTCGCCGCCAGAGACGCTGAGCGCCGTGGCCTGGATGATCATCATGGGCGACGGATTGCATAACTTCACCGATGGCATGGCCATTGGGGCGGCATTTGCCGAGAACATTGCCGGTGGCTTCTCCACCTCGCTGGCCGTCTTTTGTCATGAACTGCCGCACGAGCTGGGCGACTTTGCCATTCTGATGAAGGCGGGCATGTCCGTGAAATCGGCTGTGTACTACAATCTGTTGACTGGTGTACTCAGCTTCATTGGCATGATCTTTGGCATTGCCTTTGGCCAGTCGCAGGATGTGGCCCAATGGATGTTTGCCGTAGCAGCGGGTCTGTTTATATACATTGCCCTGGTCGATATGGTATGTTAAGCAATTTCCCAATTCCCATTTAAACTCGTATTTCGATTGCTATATTTTCTGTTTACAGATGCCTGAGATATCGGCCTCACACAAGTCGCTGGCCCAGTTTCTGCTGCAGATACTCGGTATGCTCAGTGGCGTGGGGATAATGCTGATAATTGCCCTCTTTGAGGGGGATCTGATGAGCGTGTTTGGCACTGCGCCCCCCAGTGCCGCCCACCATCAGCACGTGCACTAGATAGTAGCCACAGTAGCCAGTAGGGAAGGGAGCAACCAACAACCAACCACCAACAACTGCAGCGAATCTTGTAGCATAGCGTATTATGGGAATTGCAGCGAATATTGTGTATTAACTGCATTTTTTTTTTCCGTCAGGCCTAGGATTTTTTCAATTATATTTTGCTTAATTTTTTATAGATCTTTGTTACACTTTGCACATATATACACCACACACACACATACAGCTAGATGAACACGTTATCAATTATCAAAAAAGGCATTTGTTATCCAGTTTTTGAAACACACCTGCACACCCACACACAACAGGCGACAGGCAACAGGAAACAGGTTCCTAACTTTTGCTACAAAACTGCGTTTGAAATTGGGAAAAAGGAAGAGCGAAACATTTACAGAGAATGGAGCGAATGTATGGCCGTGCTGGAGCACGGACACACGGATCCACTGACTACTGATCTTCTACACTAAAACGGAAAACGGAAACAGAACCTAAACACTTACGATACACTTACGATTGTAGGATATATATAGTACATACATATATATATATATATACACTATATACACTATATGCATACAAATATACAGTGTGTGCACGAGACGTTTACTTTAGGCGAGTTTGAACACATTCTATAAACAAAATGTCCGCTATTACTTAAAGATTTCGAAGCGTATTATCTACTATTGGAGATCGACCCAAACCCCCAATTAAGTTTAATTTATTATTTGTAATACATTTAAAAACTATCCTAAATGCACGCTCGTACATAATTTGCCACCTCTCCTGAACGAACTTTCGTTTAATTATGTTTTTTTTTTTTTGTAATAAAACAAATCAGAAATAAACAGATCTGTCTAGTTTGTTGTTGTATAATTTCGCATTGATTTTGTTGGTAATTTGCGCACATAACTAACACGAAATGAAAGTGATTGTGATTCAACATGAGTAACTAAACATTTGTAAAATGGTGCGACTTTGATGAGAAAAGGAACGATTGCTCTTAACAGACACCCAACACACCACACCACACACACAAGCCATACACAGCAACGATCACTTTAACTGAGCAAATAACAATATTTTCTAAAGCCCACACACACTATATGCTAAAGAGGCAGTAAAACCTATAATTTTACTTAGCTGTAAGCTCTCTGAAAACTAAGAAGAATGGAGATCAAAGGATGCAGAGGCATCCCTTGGAGAAATTTGGAGAAATTGATGTAAAATTACTTTGGTGATATCAAGCAAAAGGCAATTGAAACGACTAAACGAAATAAGTTTACAATAATATTAATAAATAAATAAATATAAATGTATGTGTGTCGTGTTGTAAGTGTGCACCAGCACACGCAAAATGGCGCGTATTTTGCTACATTTAATATTATTTTAAACACTTTAAATGATCAAATAAATGTTTTTCCACCTCAACATCGTAAGCAAAATGTATGCGTGAAATATGTTGTTTGAATTTAGTGGGCGCGCAGGATGTCTATCGATGACAATAACATGTATTGGTCAGTGGTATCGAGGTAGCTCTGCTTCTGATTTACTTTTCTCCTTGCAATTGGAAAAATATATTTGTTGCTGTTTTTTTTAAATTAACAATTAAACCATGTAACATATTGAACTATACTTAATATTGACTATTAACTATAATAGTGCTATTTTCGAAACAAAACGCCGTATTCGTTCCGTATATCGCTATATAGTATATACTATATATATATATTTTGTCAATTTCAAAAATCTATTAAATTGAATTTTCAAAGGTATATTTAAGAATAAAGGGTATAGAAACTCCTATACGCAAGTTTTTTTGAATTTTCGCTATCTCAAATCGAACATCCGTGTATCATTTATATCCTTTTCGTTCATTCACTTTCAAACAATTTATATTTGGCGCGTACCACTCGTATCTACTCGGTTGACAACAATGAGCCCCATTCCATAATTTTAAATTACATATTTACTTAAATTACTGTAATTGGATCGACATATGGTGACAATTGGAACTGCATATCCCAACCATTAAAAAGGTAAACCCAACGGAAAATGTACGCGAAAATTGGATCTGGTATGAATCTACAATAAGAATTTACAATCGTTAATATTTTCCGCGGAACCAAAATTAAGGCAAAAACAATCAAAGTCAAGTATTTAAAGTAAACCAGTCAGGTAGAAAATAGATTCATTAATCGGATAAAATTATGTGGGCAGGACTGAGGGTTCTATTTAGCTAGTAATATTCGTCGGAATATCAAAAACGAGGAATATGTAAAATAGAACTTGAATTCGTCGGTATATTTTTAAAATAAGACGGTATATTTTGGTATATTTCTGTGGGTCGGACGGTATATTTTAACGATAAATCCGCGGTCACACTGACACGTATATAGATACTGTGTTAGATTTTTCTCAGCAGAATTTCTTTGCATCAGCTATTAATTGTCAAAATTGAACGAATCGAAATTGAAAAATGAACGAGGGGAGTCAGTACTCCATACATACGGTATGCCGCACCTGTCTGAGCACCCTGCACGACACAATGGCGTACGATCTCTTTTTGATTCCGGGCCTGGCCAAAAAACTATGCGTGTGCACTTCGCTATCGGTGGAGCAGCAGGATGGCTTTCCCAAGAACCTTTGCTTCAACTGCTACGCGAAACTGAACGAGTTGCACGACTTCCAGAAGCTGTGCGTGGACTCGGTGCAGAAATTCCAGGATTTGGTCTCGAGCAATGCCTTTACGTGCCAGACGAACTTCGATGTTTTGGATCCCAGTGCAGCGGTCGCAGACCTGCCGCCCGACGACGAGGACCACGTCAACTTTGATCCGCTTTTGAACTCCAAGATAGAGATCATTGAGAATGAGGAGGATGTGTTCAAAATGCTAGAGGATGTGGAGAAGGAGGTCGAGGAGGTAGAGAAAGATGAGCTCGGCTCTGCCGAGGAATCCAACGACTCTTTCATTGAGAGCGGCAACGACAACGACCAGGATGAGGACTTTCAGCTGAACAGCAGCGATGATGACGTGCCCCTGGCCCAGCGGGCCCGACGCGGGAACAGGCGCGGAACCAAAGCCAAGGCCAGCAAACGACCCATTAAGGATGATTCGGATGAATTCAGCTCCTTCTCCGACGACTCGGACTCAGACGGTGAGAAGGGGAGCAGGGAGAAGCCCAAGCGCAAGAGGATTCCCGCAGCCGAGCGACACCTCCATCGCCTCATCGACTGCCACATTTGTCATCAGAAGTTCAAGAAGGCCATTCGCTACGAGGAGCACATGAAGCACCACAACGATCTCCTCCCCTTCCAGTGCAAGGTGGAGAGCTGCCGAAAGGGATTCACCACGGCCAACGGGCTGCGCGTCCACGTAGAGCATGCACACACGGAGTCATCGGAAATGCATCCGTGCACCTACGAGGGTTGCAACAAATCTTTTGCCCGGCCCGTGCTACTCAACTTCCACATGAAGCGGGTGCACAAGGTGGACACGCCCCAAAGGGACTTCCCCTGCACGGAATGCGACAAGGTTTTCCGCTGCCCCACGGCCCTCAAGAAGCACATGTACAAGCACACGGGCGAGGAGCTGCCATTCGCCTGCGAGATCTGCGGCAAACGATTCCCCATCAACAGTGTGCTAAGGGATCACTTGCTACGGCATGCAGGCATTAAGAACCACGTCTGTCCGTACTGCGGCGTGGGCAAAACAACGCGCCAGGAGTGGAACAAACACATTCTCACCCACACCAAGGAGAAGAAGTACGAGTGCCGCCAGTGCGAGCACACCTCGCACAACAAGCAAGCCCTGGCCAACCACGTCAAGGTGGTGCATGAGAAGAGGAAGGATTTCGCCTGCCAGTACTGCGGGAAGACGTTTGGCAAGTCGCATGCCTGCAAGATCCACGAGAGAAGCCACACGGGAGAGAAGTGCTGCGAGTGCAAGATCTGCGGCAAGGTCTTCCTCTTCGAGAAGGGCCTAACCAAGCATTTAAAGACTCACGAAAAGTCGGATCTGCCCAGAAACCAGACCACAGTCAATCCATTACTGGCTGAGGTCGCTGCGGCAGCCTCTTCCTCAACCATTGCGAAGCCCAGCCCTCACCTGCGAGGACGTGTGGAGAGAGTGGACATTGCTCAGTTGGCAGGCACTGTGGTTAATCCCATACCGTCTGTGAACCTACCGTCGTGGTCGCCGCAGGTGAACTTCACCAAGAAGGAGGGCCAGCACATGTGCCCGGACTGCGGCAAGGGATTCAACCATGTGAGCAACATGAAGCTCCACTACAAGGTGGTGCATCAGAAGGTGAAGGACTTCTGCTGCCGTTTCTGCCCCAAGCGGTTCGCCAAGAAGCAGTATCTGCGACACCACGAGTACATACACACGGGCGAGAAGCCGTACGAGTGCAAGGTGTGCGGCAAACACTTCCGCCAGGAGCAGGTGCTCAAGACCCACATGAAGGTCCACGACAAGCCCCCGAGGCCCCCAAGCAAGCCCAAGGAACCGGTGGCCCCCAAGGCAGAAACGGCCAAGCGACAGCAGCCAAAGAACTTTGAGCAGTACCAGGATCCCGCTGCCGAGCGGGCTGCCGCCACCGCGGAGCTATTGGCCTACCAGCTGGAGGAGAACGAAGCTAAGCGGAAGGCGGAGGTGGAGCTGCGGAAGATCCAGGAAGCGGCATTCGAGCAGTTAAACAAGCTGCAGAAGCAGACGAACACCTACGATGGCTTCTATGCCCAGAAGGCCGAGGCGGAAGGCACCACCATCGATGCATTCAAATTGGATCATGTCTGAGGACAGCAATAAAACTCTATATGTTTATTATTATTAGTAATATACACGTATATTATGTGTGTTTCTACTACTATGAGCATAGTATATATACTATAGTATTTTTAAATGTATCATTTATTCGATTCGCTATTATTTTAAAAGATTTCTTTTATGTCTGTTCTCTCAGAAGTCGCTTCATTGAGATTTATTTTTGGGTTTCGCTATGAAAATGATTATTCAAAACGTAAAATATGAAGAACCGAATAGAAGTTGCAAAACAAATCAAGGAATATTGTGTGTGCTGTGTGGAAATGGTGTTTTGAGCCATAGCTGTGATTGTTATTTTGAAATTAACGCCGAATTCATTCCACCTATCGCACCAAAATACCGATACTATTTTTAGCTACCCTGTGTATCGATAAGAAGAGTCAAAAGTCGCGGGTATTTGATTTTAAGACAAGAAACAACACAAAGATAATGTCGATTGCTTAGAAAAGGAGTTCCCCTTATTTAACTCACATTTTACAGTAACATCTACAGTCAAATACAATCTCAGCAACACAAATCCCAAAAACAAAAAATATCGACAAAAACTCATACATACATATATCGAGATACATCCCTAGCGTCCAATTCTTTCATCGGCGCCCGCTAAACAGCACTCAACTCCCAGTCCTGCGAGAATCAAACGGAAATATACAATTGTACATTTAACTTCTTCAACTATTCGCAGAGCACACGAGGCCAAGGGTCTATTCGTGTTCCTTCGCTGCGAAATAAAAGATGAATCCTCCTATTGTTTTATGCGAAATCGCAGATGAAATTCCCATAGAATCTGTGAGCGAGCCTTCGCAATTCACTTATGCCATAAAGGGCTGGGAACTAATGCACTTCTTTGGGCCGGAGCATGCAAAGATACTCTTAGAATGCATAAAAAAGTGTAAGTTGAACAAAAGTTTACCACAACTGGAAGATTCTCACTCACGCTTTTGCAGGCGAAGTCGAGCGTCCCCGAAAGTTGGTCTTCAAAGCCATAAAAAAAGATGCCAAATGGATCTTGGTGCTTTTGCAGCAGGCGACTCGTTCCCAGCCCCGTCCGCTTGACATGGAAATGGCTGCCATACTATTGCCAATTGTGTTCAAAAATTTCTGCCTGGAGACCAGCTTGGATTTTGCAGTGGCCGAGCAGGAGAAGCTGTATCAGCGACCACTCAAAACGTATGTGTCCACGAAGCTATACGATGCTCTCTACGACAGACACCAGAAGGCGCGAGAGGGCAAGGACAAGCCTTTGGAACTTCCCGACTGCTTCCAGTCGACGTTGCGCAAATACCAAGAGCGCAGCGTTTGCTGGATGCTTAGTCGCGAGCAAGAGTCAAATGAATTTACTGGGAACTACTCCGTTCTGCACGCGGTGGATGGACATACACGCGTGCTCAAGCATGACTACTGTCTGCAGTTCTATCCGTTTCAGGAGAAACTGCCAAAGATAATTTTGCCCCCGGGTGGCATCCTAGCAGATGAAATGGGTTTGGGCAAGACGGTGGAGTTCCTTGCCATGCTGCTGCTCAATCCCAGAGTTAAGGGCACATTCAACAACAAATATTGGCTAGAACTTTTAGAGAGTGTCGACGATTACGTGCCCCTAAAGAAGCCGCGGCTGCAGGAAGAACTGTTTTGCATTTGCACCAAAAAAAAGGGCATCCAGATTAAGTGCAGAAGGTGCAAACTGTGGCAGCACGAGGAGTGTATGAATAGCAGTGACGAGCGGGATGCGAATGATCCCCCATATGTGTGTCCCAGCTGCTGGTCGGAACTGGGAAACATGGAAGACACGCAATTGGTAGAGTCCGGAGCCACTATCATAGTCTCGCCCAATGCCATTAAGATGCAGTGGTTCAACGAGATGCAAAAGCACATCTCGCCTGCCCTGAAGGTCCTACTGTACCCCGGCCTGCACTCTGGCTCGTGGTATAGTCCCTTGGAGCTGGCCAAGTACGATGTTGTGCTCACAGATTTTCTTATCCTTCGCAATGAGATTCATCACACCGCAGACCACAAGTCCGATCGCCAAATGCGCCACCAGCAGCGCTATATGCGTCCCAGCTGTCCGCTTCTCATGGTTAACTGGTGGCGTGTCTGCCTGGACGAGGCTCAGGTAAGAGAGAAGACATCTAGCCAGTGCATCTCTTTCGAAATGTTATAAATGCATTTTCCCTTTTTTAGATGGTGGAGAGCACCACCTCGAATGCGGCGGAAATGGTGCGGATGCTGCCGGCTGTAAATCGTTGGGCCGTCACTGGAACTATTGACGATCTGCCGCCACTCTTGCAGTTCGTTGGCTTCAACGAGGCCTGCCAGCCGCCCGCTGCCTGGCAGACTGTCGATAAGTCCTTTCAGCTGAACCACAACCCAAAGCCATTGCTGGATCTGCTAGAGCACAGCTTGTGGCGCACCTGCATGTCGAAGGTGAAGCACGAGCTTGGGATTCCACCGCAAACGGAAGTGGTGCATCGTCTGGAGCTTAGCAATGTGGAATCTCTGTACTATCGCGAGGAGCACAATAAGTGCCACGAACAGTTCCTCCAGGAAGTGGCAAAGAATACGCATCATAACGAGGACAACAGCTCCCGTCTGGCGGCCATTTCTCCGCAGCTGCTGCGGATCATCCTAAAACCATTTCTGCGCATACGCAAGACCTGTTCCGTGCCCGTCGTGAACAACAACAGTTTGCACACGTTATCTTTTCTGGATCCACAGGACCTCCTAAATCATCTGATATCCAACAACGAAAACGAATGCAAGAAGCAGCTTCGCAGTTGGGCCTCGGCGTACAATGGATCGGCAGCCATATACTTTATACGCAAACATTACCACCAGGCCATCAGGCAGTACAAGCTCTTGCTGAAGCTAGCAGCGGACTACAACAAAGACAACATATCGTAAGAAAAATCAGCTAAAAATGCTCAGTTATAGGCCTGTATAGTACCCGTACTATTTCCTTTTACAGCGTGGACAGTGTGCTCCAGATTCATGCTCTCTATAACATTCTGCAAGCGAGCGCTCTGGCTGCCCCTCAAGACAGGATATCCGAAATCGAGGAGACCACCTATAAATCACAGATGCAGAAGTTTGGGTGGAAGTACCTGGAGGAAACCTCCAAAGTTCTCCAATCGGCTCTCAGTGCCTACCAGTTGAAGATATCTGAAATGCACACGCTGGAGGATCAGTTCCGTGGCAGCATTGTCCAATTTCTGGCCACAGTGGTCAACCTCAAGCATTCCCTCCATGATGTCATGTTAAGCAAGGTGCAGTATGTCGTTGTTGATAAATTGGAGCACGTCCACTCCATAGCGGGCATAATTTATGTAATTGAAATGTGGCACCAACGTCTCGAGGATCTGAAGATCAACTTATTTTCTGAATTCGAGTATCTGCAAGATATCATTGGTCGGGCTGTTGGGGCAGTCAAGGCGGGAGAGGCCCTAACAGCGGAAATCACTAGTTTTATAACCAATGTTTCCGATTGTCATCTGGCTGAGATTTTGGTGAGTGCTACCTGATAATGCAGCGGCAAGTTGTAGCTTCTTGGCATTTTTCCAGCAGAATGAAGGCAAAAAGAAACCAAAAAAGCCGCGCACTTGTCGTCTGTGCAAGATTCGTGAGACCTTGCATAAATTCGAATGTCTTGTGTTTGACAAAGAAAACGACATGACCGAAGGCCTGGAGAAGCCCAGCATGGAGATCAGTGTTCTGAAAAGTACAGAGTGAATAATCTAATTAAATTGATCTTTGATTAATGTATCGCTTTTTTCAGTAATCTTTACATTCGTGCGATCAAAATCAGAATTCAGTGACTACCTTGGCGAATGTAAAATCAAATTGGATTTGCTCTCCTGTCTCCAGGGACTGGCCAAATCCATGGCAAAGTACTGGATCGAGGTGGAGTATATGGTGAAGTCATTCGATGAGCTGGAAATGTGCAAGATGCGCATTCTGCTGACCGATGATCCCAAAGAGCAGTCGAATTTCCGCATCCTGAGGGGCCAGGTCGATGAGCAATTGCGGACGAATCTGATCAAACTGGAAATCGCACAGCGTAACTTCACGCGGCTGAATGGACGCCTCAAGTATTTGAAGCACTTGAAGGAGGACAACAGTGCCAGGAACTGTCCGATTTGCCAGACCGATGAGGATTCGAGAGTAAATATAATCATAAACCAGATAAATATCGCATGAGCTAAACACTTATATTCTATTGAACTCTTTTTCAGTATGTTATGATGGTTTGCGGCCACTTTATTTGTCAGGACTGTCTCGACGAAATGAAGAGGAAAAAAAACCTTGAGTGCAGCACCAAGTGTCCCATATGTCGCCAGGATTCGCCGGAGTAAGAAATGCTTCTCAGCCTTGGCATATGTATATCTCTGACTATCACTTTCTGTTCTGTAGGTTATATCATTCCGTTCGTCCTGGGGTGGCGAAAACGATGGTTGGGAGCTTTTCCACGAAAATCACCTGCATAGTGCAACTGATTCTCAAGATTACTGCTGACGATAATCAGGCTAAGATCCTCATCTTTTCGCAATGGCAGGCAATACTAGAGCAAATTTCAATTGCACTGAGGTTGAATAGGATTGTGTTTCGCAAATGCAGTAACATGGATCTGGATGAGTTTAAGGTTCGTTATGAGTGCTTAAACAATGATTATCGCACTCTAACCAGCATTCTGTAACCCTCCTTTAGAGCACAGAAATGAATGTTACCTGCCTGTTGATGGCCTTGTCACGTGGCTCCAAGGGTCTGAATCTGATCGAGGCCACACATGTGTTTCTGGTGGAGCCAATCCTCAATCCTGGCGATGAACGCCAGGCCATTGGTCGTATTCATCGCTTCGGCCAGACAAAGTAAGTTTCACTTTCGATAATCAATGTTCCATGTTTGATCTTATGGCTTGTTCTTCTATAGAGCGACGACAGTTCATCGGTTTATAGTGAATGGCACCATTGAAGAGAATATTCTGTCGCTAATTTCATCAGCCGATGATAGTAAAACCCTCGGTACGCACTGGGATCTAGAGAACTTGACGTTGGACAGCTTAAAGAAGCTTTTCATTCTCAAGGAGTAGACTAAACGATTTTCCATGAAGAGTACTACATATTGACAAAGTAGTAAAGAGTAGTAGTTTAAAAAAAGTTTTATATAACTACATCCCCTATATCTTCGACAAAGAATATACAATTATTGCTGCTCGTATAAAACATCTACATTAGTATTTGCTTTTCCCCCACGCCCAAGGACAACGTTTAACGTTGGGCTCCGTTCCGTTCCTCTTCCTCAAACATGATCGATCTTCAGGGCGTCGAGGCTGGTGCCATCCGCGTGGGCCTTCTGCGCATAGTAGCCATCGTAAGAGGTCTGTACCTTGTCGATCTCCTGCTGCTGCTGCAGTCTTTGCAGCTGCTCGTAGGCGGCCTCCTGGATCTTGCGCCGCTCTTCGTCTGCCCGCCGTTTCACCTCATTCTCCTCGAACTGCTGTGCCTGCAGCTCGGCGGAGGCAGCTGCCCGCTCAGCGGCAGCCTCCTGGTACTCGTCGTACGAGTGCAGATTCCTGTCGGTCGTCTCCAGTTTGTGCAGCGACGATAGCTGCTCCTTGGCCGCCTCGGCAATTTCTTTCCGCTTTGCCTCCGCCTTGCGCTTGGCTTCCCTTTTGCTGCGCTCTTGCTCCTCTAGTTCCTCGCGGGCTGCATAGAACTTCGAGGAGATAACAGGTGGCCGGTTCTCGTGCGTACGCTGATGCCGCTTGAGAGCAGTCTCCTGGCGGAAATGAGTGCCACAGGTCTTGCACTCGAATGGCTTCTCTCCCGTGTGGATCCATTCGTGGTGGCGCAAAGTCTGGGCCTTCGCAAATCGCTTAGGACAGAAGCGGCAGGCAAAGTCCTTGACCTTTTCGTGGATGATCTTGTAGTGTCTCTTCATATTGCCAATGTTGTTGAAGCCCTGCCCACAGCCCGGACAAATGTGCTTGCCCTCCTTTTTGGTGAAGTTCACTTCCTGCGGGGACCACGAGGGCACCGACACCGACGATATGGGATTGACAGCAGTTCCCGCCAATTGGGAAATGTCTACGCGTTGGACACGTCGCGGATCCTTGGGTATGGTGGCCACCGATTCGGCACAAACTTTCAGCAGCTCATCGGCGGCATTCTGTGACATCACTGGCTCTGCACCCGCACTCGATTCGGTTCCACCTGCGGTAGGTACTCCCATAACATCTGCGGTGTTCTCCACCTGTTCCCCGGGTGCCGTTTCGCCCATTTCCACCTGCCGTTGGCGATAGGTCTCAATGGCGCGAAGTACCCGCTTCTCGTGCGTCTTCAAATGCTTTGTTAGACTCTTTGGATAGAGGAACTTCTTACCACAGACCTGAAATCAAAGAAACCTTGACTGTAAAAGGATACTCCATTCATTTGGATGATCTCTGTCTCTTACCTTGCACTCGCATCGCTTCTCTCCCGTGTGTGTCATCTCATGGATCTTGCAGGCATGCGATTTCCCGAAAGTTTTACCGCAGTACTGGCAGGCATAGTTCTTGATCTTTTCGTGGACGATCTTGATGTGATTGGCCAGGCTCTGTTTGTTGTGTGAGGCATGCTCGCATATATGGCACTTGAACTTCTTCTCCTGGGTGTGCGTCAGGATGTGGGTGTTCCACTCCTGGCGCGTCGTCTTGCCCACGCCGCAGTAGGGACACACATAGTTCTTGATGCCCGCATGCCGCATCAGATGATCCTTGAGCGCGCTGTTGATCACAAACCGCTTGCCACAGATGTTGCAGGGGAAGGGCAGCTCCTTGCCATCGTGCTTGTACATATGCTTCTTCAGGGCCATGGGACAGCGGAATACTTTCTCGCACTCCGTGCAGGGATAGTCGCGAGGCGGGGCCGCTGACTTTGCTATATTGTGCACCTTTTTCATGTGGAACGTGAGCAGACGTATGCGCGGAAAGCTCTTCCCACAGCCATCGACGCTGCACGTGTGGACCTCCGACAGTTCGGTGTGGGCATGGTCTATGTGGAGGCGTAAGCCGCCTGCCGTTGTGAAACCTCCAAATTGAAACGTTAGTTAATATTTCTTTTAAGAGTGATTGCTAGAGAGGATTACCTTTCCTGCAGGTTTCCACCTTGCACTGAAAGGGAAGGAGATCGTTGTGGTGCTTCATGTGCTCTTCGTAGCGGATGGCTTTCTTAAATTTCTGGTGGCAGATGTGGCAATCGATGATGCGATGCAGGTGACGTTCGCTGGGGGGAATCCTCCTCCGTTTGGACCTCGAGCTTTCGCCGTCTTCGTCAGGTTCTGATCCCGACAAGAACTCATCCTCTTCCTTAACGTCTGTACCGCTGGATTTCTTGGATTTCGCCTTGGACGATTGGCGGAGAGTCCCTTTCAGACGCTGGGACAGGGGCACGTCGTCATCGCCATCGCTGCTGTTGGGCTCAAAGTCCACGTCTTCATCGATGTCACTGCCGCTCTCCACCGAAGAGTCGTCGGCAAATACGCTCATCAAATGATCATCTTCAGCGTCCTGCTTGACCTCCATCTCCGCCTCCTCGGCCTCCTTATCCACATGCTCCAGCATCTTGAACACATCCTCCTCATTCTCGATCAGCTCCATTTTGTGGTCCAACAGGGGATCAAAGTTGATGCGATCCTCCTCATCCCCTACCAGTTCCCCCTCATGTCCGGCCACATTCAGAACATCGAAATTCTTAATCTGCGAGCTCGTGGAGACGACGCAAAAGACATTTTTGGCCACCATGTCCTGGAACTTCTGCACCGAGTCCACGCACAGCTTCTGGAACTCGTGCGTGTCATTCAGCCGGGAGTAGCAGCTGGTACACAGATTATTGGGATATCCATCCTGCTGCTCCACGGACAGCGGGGTGCACACGCAGAGTTTTTTGGCCAGGCCCGGGACCAGGAACAGATCGAAGGAGGCATCTTTCTGCAGGTGCTGCAGACAAATGCGGCACACCGATTGTATGGAGTACTGAGCCCCCTCATCCATTTTGCCCCCGCTACGACGTGTTGGCCAGTTTTTTGGAAATCAAAATATTTCAGAAAAACTTTACGCGTCAGAAGGGCAGATTTTAGCGAATATGTAAATATTGATATATCAATATATCGATATATTTTTTTGTTGATAATATGTTTTTTCTTACAGGCGAAAATATTAATATGAATATACATGGATCAATGAGTTCTGGAAAAAGACACTATTTTTCTGTTTTTCAAAGTCGCTGGATTTGTTCGCCGCTATAGATCGCCATCGGAAATGATAAAAGGCATTCCTAAAAACGATTGGCGCTGCACAATGTGCTCAAGTGCGCAATAAATTGTCAAGCAAAAAAATTCCATATCGGACTCAAAGCTGATTTCGTTTAGACAAAATTTGTGTTTTATAAAACTATAACCGTAGTCGCCTTGGGTTTACTTTGTTTAGACTTCGTCAATTCAAAAACTGCTTTCAACAAAAATATTAAAACAAAATCAGTATATTAATCCAAAGCTGAACAGTTCAGTTTTATTCGATATCAAATATTGCGGGTGGTTGGGGATATCGATGAATAGATTTATTACTGGGAGATACTATCGAATATTTTGCAGCTCTACACAAAAGCAGAGAAGAAAATTTTAGCGTGGTTTTTTCGGACGAAAAACAATCAAAACTGCAGCAAATCGTGAGAAATACCAAGCCAAAAATAATCGTAAGTGTGGCCGCAACGATACCCTGCACAAATCTAAAGCAACCAACAAGCCAAAACTCATCCTTGCGTTACATTATAGTGTATATGTGGAACCTGCTTAGCATAATTACAAAATTTACGCATTACTTTGTGCGAGAGTCGGCAGCGTTTTCGTTTTAATTGACTGACTGCCCTTTACTCTTGCCCCGCAGTGCTTTGTGTATGCTACGTTACAATAAATTCTTCGTGCAAAAAATATCCAAGAAAGTAGTGAAGCCCGCAAAGCAAAACAAAAGCTAACAAGCTTCCGAAATAAAAATTCTTGTTCCCCCCCGCCTGAAAGTGTCACCGCCAAGACGTTCCTGCGAAAAATGTTTTGGGACAAGGGTTATGCGCCCTCAGCGAATATAGAGGCGTTACTAGAGAAGGAGGTAAGTTTGTGGCCACCTGCAGCGTCTTCGTCTCCGTCTCCGTCTCCTTGTCCACTCACCCACTCATTGCCTTACACTTTCGTCTTCACACATCGCACAGAATTCAAAGCTAGAGGAATTTCTAGATGAGGAGGACATACTGCAAGAGTGCAAAACGCAAAAGAAAACTCTCGTCAACTATTTTACACGTGCCGATGTGATCAGGCGTCTGGTTGAGCTAATCACAACTGAACCCTCTGATGATCTGCCCATGGTACAGCGTTTTCGCTACGCAAACATGTCCTGTGAGATACTCACACTGTAAGTTCTGCCATCTTTCTCTTTTTGCCATTTAATTAAATAGATTTGATTATGTTTAATAAATAGCGGCCTACCGTCCCTTGATGAGAAGCTTCTGTCCGATGCGGACACAATACAGCTGCTGTATTCATATCTGGAAAAAGAACCACCGTTAAATCCATTGCTGTCGTCGTTTTTTAGCAAAACGTTTAGCATGCTCTTTACCAAAAAGCCTGAACAAGATTGGTTTTCGTATCAACACATGTGCCTACAACTCCTGGAGTATATTAAATCGCAGAAGACCTTTTTGGATTTTATTTGCAAACACTTTGACACACCGGTCATACCTGATCTAATAATGCAAATGATGAAGGACATCGAGGGTGGTCAACTGAAGCGAAACCTATTCGAAGTGAGTCTCAAGGTTCCCGTCTTTCAGCACTCTTAAACACTTCAATATTTTTTATTTTCGCAGTGGCTAACTGAAGATAAAATTGTGGAGAGACTGATTGCAATATTGCGTAATCCTCAAGAAACCGATAAACATGCAAATGTTGCCGACTTTTTCTGTGATCTTATTAACCAAGGGCGCCTAATGCGTCAAACCGAGCAGGAGAACGATTCATTTGAGCCGGCCTTTGATGGCTCGAATCCCATATTGAAAACCATTGAATCTGCTGATACAATTGAAGCCTTGTTAAATGTGATTTTGGAACCAAACGCTCAAGAGAGCGCCATCTTATCAGGAATATCGGTTGTACTTACGCTTATCAAGCCAATTACATTCACGTAAGTCGCTGAGCTCCCTGATCACTGCTTCGTTTCTATCTGCCCCTACCCTACCCTCCCGCTCTTTCACAGAGATGAGCCCAATTCTGATCGTCAGCGTTTGCTGCAGAAGCGAGAACGAGAATTCCATCAGGAGGTGCAGGAGACTGTGATCACTGTGATGGCGCCACGCCTACAAGAGTTCGTTCATGTTCTCAAGAACCCGCCTGCGGTGAGTTCTCATAGTCCAATCTAAGAGAAATGCCAGTTCTATATCCAATATATTGCTTTGCAGAAATCCACAATTGAGACCACAGCGGCCGTGTTGACGCCCCCCTTTGGGAAGACACGTCTTCAAGTGTGTCGTGTGTTCACTGCCCTGTTGGAGACCAAACACGAGAGCATTCAACAGGCGTAAGTTTTAAAGCTTGCCCCGAGTCCGCACTGCAATGATTGAATCTCCATTCTTCCCTCAGGATCTGCGCAACGGAATACTTTAGTTTGCTGCTGGAGTATTTCAAACAGTATTGCTGGAACAACTTTTTGCACACCGAAACGGAGAAGGCCCTCCACCTGGTGTTCTACAATGAGCTGTCCAATAATAATACGGCTTCTACGGAGGCCACTGACTTCTTCACCGCCGATTGCCTGATCAATGCCTTCCTGAAGGTCAACGAAGAGGAGTTCGATGTTGAGTTGAAGAATGCCTTGAACGACTATAAGCGGGAGGAGGGTGGCAACAACGCGCATCAGGATCAGGATCAGGATGGTGACATCGAAATCGAAGTGGCAGCTGCGCAGGAAGCGGCGGTACAGACCGATGAGCAGACGCCAACCACCATCCAGGAAGCTAATCCCCAGGAGTCTCCAGAAGAATCGGAACCGCAGACAACTGTAGTGTTCGCCAATGAGGAAACAGCGGCACCAACGCTGGAGGAGAATCATGTGGAGAACAATTTGGAGGATGATAGAGGAGAGCTGTCGCTTGCAGCAGATAAGTCGGACAGCGAAACAACGCTTAATGATCTGGACAAGACCAAGGAAGCGCCCAATGCCCTGCCTTCAGAGATGCAAACGCATGTAAGTTGGACATGAAGGTCTTGTCCAGTTCCTGTTCTAATTTGGCCCTCCTTTCAGTTGATTGTAAACTGTCACTTGGTCTCCAAGTTGATTGACTTTTGGCAGCACAATGCGCAGGCGCAGTAAGTATTCACGCAGATTAGTCTAAGAAGCGCTTATCCCTAATGCCATGATTTTTCCCGACTCCAGATCTGTGGAAAAGGGCCGTCGACTGGGCTACATGGGGCATCTCATCAAAATTCTCCGTCATATTACAAATTGTATATCAGAATCTGAACATATCGCTGCCTTGATGGTCACCAGCCTCAGGGACGAGGCCGAGCAGCAGCTCTGGCAATCGCTCATCGATGCGGAAACTGGCGAATTCACGCTTGCAGCGAAGCAGCAGAACCAGATGCTGGCTAACTGTAATCCGCACGAGGACCACGAGTACAATGCGGGCGGCTCGAAGGACTATTTGGGCGAGACCAATAGCTGGGACATTGGAACGTTGTCCTATAGCAACATGGGATACAGTGATCTGGACAACACGTTGCAGGACATTGTCTTTACCATGGACAATGATCAAAATCTATTTCAATTTGGTCGCAATATCGATGACGAGGACGATGACGAGGACGAGCAGGGCACTCACTCTGGCGCTGGCGATGGACATAGCCACGGCATGTTCACGAAAAACTCGATCACGCTAAGCAATCTGGCCGATACCTGGGACATGGATGTACAGTTCTCGGACATTCCCGGTGCATCTACTCAGGTCAACACTGGCACCGAGAACTGGGGCACGGAATTCAATACGCATAACTTTGCCGACTTCGATGCGCACTTTAGCACCTTTGGCAGCGATTTGGGTATGCCTACATCACGGCCCCCCGTGGACGAGGAATCGCAATCAGTGCCGGAAGTTCTGGCACCCACTCCGGCCACTGTCGGCGATGAAAAAGAGTCGCATGCGCACAATGATGATGATGATGATGAACCTATGAGCCCCAAAGCTGTCCCGGATAATGCATCCAGCAACGATCAACAGGCTGAGTACGACAATAATGCTAATGTGGAGAAGTCGTCCAGCGACAAGCTGGCGAGCGAGGCGAGTGTTGTCGAGGCCACATCGATTGTTACCCGACTGCAGTCGGTGTTGTTGGATGGCGAGGATGATTACGAAGACGACGAGGGCATGTGGACAAAGCCCTTGGGTGGGGATCGTGAAACGGAGGATCAATCCACACCCATTTCGAATGGACCCACCAGCAAAGTGAACGAATTGTAAGCAAATGCAAGTCGATTGTATCCCAAATTCACAATTCTCTCTTCTTTTCTGGTTTCAGCAATCATGCCAACGACAACGGCAGCAGTAACAACGTGGATGGCCATGAGGAAAGCAACATCACAGCAACAGCGGAGCAACAGAAGCTGACGGCCGCTAGTGCCAACAAGACGAACAATGTTGAGATTGCAACACACACCACATAGATACACTCACAACAAACACACACACAAACACAAACACCCCACACCACACCCAAATAAACACGCACTCATTACCCAATCTGCAATTTGTATAGCATAAAATGTGTCGACGACAATTTGTAAAAATGCCTTTGATTTGCTCTTTGGTCATTTCTTATACATACATAATCATGCATATGCTACATATTTATATGAATATATACCACATACTACTACTTATACGTACATGCATAGACACGTCTATATAAATATATATATATATTATATACACAACAAAAACAGGCTGCAAAAGTACAAGAAAAAATTTGTGCATTAGCAAAAGGCCGAAGCCCGCCCAAAAAAACCAAAATGGAAATGAAAAAAAAATGTTTAAAAGTAAAAAACGTTTATTGTTGAATACTTCTGCTCCTCGCTCGTATTGCCAATTATTTTAATTTGTAACTTCTTTCACGCTTCCTAATTAAGTGAATTGTATTTTTTTTTTGTACTTGTACTTGTATAAGTCTGTCGTTTTAGTGCTTTAGTGCTTCTACTTTCAATACTCTCAATGTGTTAGGCAACGAATGAGCATTACTTAAAGTACCAAAATTTACCATGCAACAAGTAATGTCGTATGAATAGTTTTGTATTTGTATTTCGTGGATAATCTATATCTATACATACATATATATATACATATACATTTACACACACACACACACTCCTACACCCCACACACACAAATTTGTATTGTTGAATATTCGTGTTGGAGACTTGTGCGAGCAAGTTATTGAATGAAAACGAAGCAAAAGCAATGCCAAAATACCAAAACTTTCAACACAACAAACACACACACACACACACACATGCTGCAAGCACAAAAAAGTACGCATTATGTATTAATGAGGTATATTACTACATATTTATGTATGTACAAATATACTTATGTCTTTTGCCATTATGACTTTGTTTCTATACAAATCGGTATAACCAAAAAATATTCTTTGTCGAAAGTACAAAAATCAAACTGAAAGAAACTACAAAAACAGATGACAGAGTAAGAAACAGAAGCAATAGAAATAACTGAAAACAAGAAGCAAAGAAACAGCAAGCATTTGTCAGGACGAACATGAACTAAGTACACCCCCGATATACACACAATCTACAAGCAACCTCCTTAAAACCTACTTATAGAAACGATTTTCTATAGGCCTCCCTCCCTCTCCCAGAAAACGAGAATTTCAAATGAAGACTTTCCAAGAAGACATTTTAAATTTAAATTTACTTACTTTTGTGTATTGTTTTTAAATATATTTCTATTCAAGTTGCCGCTGGAAAATGTTTCAGCGAACCAAGAAGAAAATACAGAAAAGAAAAGAAAACAGAATAAGCAATGAAAATGAAGAAATACAAATATGCCATCTTTCGCTTCCAAATAAATTACACTTTAATTATGTTTAAAAATAAAACAAAAACTACTTTAAAAGTAAACTTGATGTTTGTTTTACAAGAGAAACGCAAACGAAAAAAAAAGAAAATAAAAATCTTTAATCTAGAGAATGTAGATTAAATTGTAAGATAAGTGAAGAAATGAGAATTGAGCATGCAGCATATCAAGCAGAGATGTGTGTAACAATAACCAAACCCAAGCCCCACATTCCCCAAGACCCTATCCCAAAGAAAAGGAATCTTCGTTCACCGATTGATTCATGCACCGAACTTGTTTGAATTATATAGAATACTAAAGTAGAATATTTTTGCACAAATTTCCAATCGCTTGCTTTTTATTTTTGCATAAAAAAAAGGAAAAACAAAACATAAGAAAGTAATGAGAAAAATGAAATGTTTAAACTATCTCTGATGAAAAACTGTGATAATTAAATGAAGTTGCAGGGTATTTGATAAAGAAAACTTAATTTAAACAAAGTGTAAGACATCAACTAATGGACACCACACACCTCACAACACAGCTATCATGTACACGAAAACACTCTCGACACGAACTACACACACACACAGACACACACACTCACACACCCATTAACTGACAATTAAAGAAAGTTAATTATATAATTAAATTCGTTGGCACCACACAATCAACAGGCGAACAGTCGAAGAACAGGAATATGAACCACAGCAACCGAACAGCAATACGTACTGCAATGAAATCTAATTGAGAGAGAGAGAGAGAGAGGTATAGAGAGGGACAGAAAGAGAGAGAGAGAGAGTTTTAATGTGTAGTATTTAGTATCTATAGAGATAATCAGAGATGATGTTGATGGATGGTGATGGCGGATGGCTTAGCTTTTAGTTCTCCAGCTTCATGCGAACCGAAACTAAACTTAAAACTAAGTCTTAAACTTAAAAATACTCATATCAAACAGCCAATTGTAAACCGTGTAATATGTACATATAATTGACCCTAGTATTGTCTTCCCCGCCCCCACTTCTGTAGTTACGTGTTCTTCGTTTCTTACAACTAACTTAATATCTTACATCCAATGATCGAATCCTTCCCTTGTGCATATGCCTTACCATACCATAGAATACCATACACACATAGAAATACACAGCTATCCATTATCCTAGACATAGTTCCACCTACGTACTGTGTGTCTTTTAAATGTTAAGCAATAATAATACAAGAAACGAGTACAGAAAAACTTAGTATGTATGTATATGCTTGATAAGAAAAACAGAAAAGTGTAGACAATGTCTAGCGTGTGGCAGTTTTAAGCATTTTGTTTGTCTAATTGTAAACTTAAATAAGAATACCAAACGTCCAAAGTTTTATGCAAAACGAGAACTAAGAACAATTGTGAACAAGAAAGTCTTCAGAAATGTTTTGATCACCCCGATGCAGAGCAGAGTTATACACACGCATGCAGGCCTAATTACGTATACATACATATACAAATGTCGTTTATAATGATTGATTGATTGATTGATTTCTCATCGATTGTTTCACCCCAGAACACCCCAGAGGAAGGGAACTCAGTATTTTGTGACATGCACTAGGCATTACTCGATATCGTAAGTGAGCAAGTAAGGTTGTAACTTTAATTCTTTCGTGGCGCAATTAACTTGAGATAAAACTAAAGCTGCATAACGATGATAACGATACGATAATGATATTTTCTAACCCGCGAACCGAATCTTAGGTATCCGGTGTCGGGATGTGTTCAGCAATTCAGTATTTCAATTAAGCCAATCCCTTGAGAGCCCAAAAAGCCCCCTCCCACAATGCCCACAAATGCTACAATGGTTTCCAACTGCAAACCAAATGAAAAGGAGATGAGAATAGGACACAAGATTTAATAAATAAATAAAATAATTCTCTTAAATCTTAACTTAAATAAAGAACCAGCGGGAACAACAACGAGGAAGATAGATGATGCAAACTGTAATACAACAAATAATTGACAAACTTAAACATCATACATGCAATATAATAAAACATCTATACTTGAAAATAATTAAGAAATCCCATACAACAGTTAAGGAAATTGTTAACATAATGGATAATGGAATGAACTAAATACTAACCATAATTAGCAAATAGTCGATGAGAACGGAAAGAACCGAACCCAAGTGTGCTTCATGTATGAATTTATGTTTAGATATTTACAAGCAAACAAATGCGCGTATACATACAATACATATTCCTAACTAAAAATGAAAAATGAAATGAAAAATGAAAAGAAAACCAAGCGACAAGAAAAACTTACAGAATTTGCATATTACTCTTAACGATTAACAAAACTATTGGTGTCTATACATACATACAGTATATTATAATTATAAAGAACTATACCCCCTATATACTATATATACTATTAACTTTGTATGTATGTAAAACGAGTACAGACTTTTGAGAACTGCAAAACGTATCGTCAAATATCCAAAGGCAGACATATTTGTCGCAGCTACAACTTGCTATAAAAGCAAAAACAAAATATTAACAATATATATATACATATTATTAAGTGCTCAAGGTGATAGTTGCACTCAGACACCCAAACACACACATACACCCATACAGTACACACACAGATATATATATCCATACTCGCTGATTTGCTTTTTGTCGAAACTACGAAGAGATACTACTGAAACCCCAAGGGACAGACACTCTGGAATCTGGAATTTCTTGAGTAAGTGCCTTAAAACGAATGTCAGAAAGTCAGAAGAGTGGAGGAGCGGTAAAGGGGGTTTGAAGCATGACAAAAATACACGATTTTTTCGATGCATTTGTTGAAGAGAAAGATAAGATGATACGACCTTTGTTCAAACTTTACTAAAGTGTTAGCCCCCGTGCAAACCAAACTAAAGTGTAGTTCCAAACTGAAATTAAGCAAACAGAAACAGAATAGTTAACTTTATGCTCCGATCTATAATAAGAATATAATTATATATAATTACCGTATACCTTTACCGTCGCATTTCTACATACACAGGAGATGTGTAACAAGTATTTGTGAGTGTTTATTTTAGGCCAGTCTACGTTTTGCTCAACGCACACACCAACCACACACAACCACACACACATACTGCAAACGAAAGCCCACACATAGTTACGAGTACACACACACCAAAAAACACTGAGAGATAACAAACGCTTTAGCAGAGTTAAAGACAATTTGTGATTGTTTTGCATGTACCCTAACATTAAACGAGTATACAAGAAAAGAATTAACAAATAACAAGCATTAAAAAAGAAGAAGAAGCCGGAGAAGGGCAGCGAGCAACCAGTACGAGTAATAGCATTAATTGTCTAACAATAAGATTTGTGCATTATACGATAGAAATTCACTTTGAATTCGTATTGAAGTTTATCAATAAAGCGATACAATTTGATTCATATTCGAAGAGAACTTTTAATCAACTCCATATCCCATCCCCAATGAAACTCTTAACATTTCATTTAGTATTTTCCTTATTATTTCTTAATTTTATTTATTTATCACAATGTGGCCCTAAAAAGTATGCTACAAAAAATAGTTCTTTAAAATAAAATCAGTTCGACTTGGAGGTGGATGTGGTTGCTCTTGAAGCACTCACCGTGGCCATGGTCAGTGTGGTGGTGCTGGTGGTGGCATGTACAATAGTGGAGCCGCCATGTCGTGTCTCCATGTGCCTCTGAAGATCGCGGCGTCGGGCCAGGGACTTGTGGCAGATGCGACACTGATATCCCGCCTCCGATTCGCCTTCGATGTCGACATCGCTGCTGCCACCGCCGCCCTCTCCTCCTCCTCCACCCACTGAACTGGGCTGGGTCTGGAGATGAAGACGCACATGCTTGTTAAGGTTGCTCGGATCGCCGAAGGGGCGCAGGCAGAACTTGCACTTGAGCGGCTTGAATCCGGTGTGAGTGCGGATGTGGATCTTCAGGCCATACTTGCGGGAGTATACCTTGCCGCAGTAGATGCACAAGTGTCCCTGCTTGGAGGCCCCCATGTTGCTGACAATGGCTTCGATCTGCGCTGCCGCATTCATGGGATGCGCTCCCAAGGGTGCGGCTGCCATCGATATGGAGGGTAAGTAGGAAAGCGCGCCAGAAGCCGCCGCGGTGGCCGTGGCCAGAGGTCTCAGTGTCTGCATGGCCGTGATCGGGCGAAAGGCGGAGAAACGGGGAGGAATCTGCAGCGGAGGCGAGTGGGTGGGCGAGGCCGAGGATGTGGAGGAAGCCGCTGGAGTAGGCGACAGGTGAGTGGCAGTTCTTTGGTGACTTCGGACAGCCGCTTTCAGGGCGTAGTGCAAGCGCATCCAGAGTATGTCCATGGCACTGCGCCCACAGCCGAGAGCCAGGTGGATCTTCAAGGGATGTGGGGTCTCAAAGGTGAGATGGCACAGGTGACATGTGTAGCGACTGTTTCCTGGAAGAGCAACAAAAAGATAATTCAAATTAGTTCAAGATCAGATCAGAAGAAATCCCTTGGGTCGTGCTGTGTGATCCTTACCTTGTATGTTTAGTGGCGTGAGGAAGGGTATGCCCATGAGCAGCACCAGCTCTTCTCCGAACCAGGCCACAATCTCATCTTCCCGCGCTACATCCCGCACAAGTCGCAGCCGCACTTGTCCGCCATGGAGCTCGAAGATCGCATTGAAGCTGTAGACATCTTCGGAAAGCTTGATCTGGCGCAACAAGGTGGCGGACATGATCAGTTCCCCGTTGGACACCTGGCAGTAGGCTCGGGTGCCGTCGGTGGGTGTTGCTGTGGAACTGAGGAGGGCTTGCGTGGGCACGGAACTCGAGCAGGTGTCCTTCGGAGTGTACTGCGAGGTGTAGACGCCAGGACGTGGATTGCCCCGCACCCGCTTGACCGGGTTTTGAGTACTCGTCGTGGGCGTCAGCGTGGTCACTGGCGATGTGGTGTTGGTTGTGGTCGGCGATAGGCTGGAGCTGGGCAGCAGTTGCTCGATGCGGAAGATCATGCTGGCCGCCGAGCGTTTCTGTCCGGGTGCCGTCTCTTCCAGCTCTAGACTATCCAGATGAGCGGTCGTGTGCATCGTTCGCGTTCGAATTCGATTCTGCGTTCCAATTGGAAGCAGCGGTCGCTATTTATACCTCATCCGCATCCGCATGTGCACATCCGTACATCCTGCTCCCTTATTTGGATTTGTTACGGCCTTGCAGTGTCACAACACGGCTGGCGTCAAGTGCAAGAATTCCCAGCCCAGTCGAGTCCGGCACGGGCCCGGGCACGGGCATGGGCTCTGGCACCGGCTCCTGACATAGCTACGCACTTTGCAGCCGCCTCACTCACTCATCCACCTCATCTCTCAGAGCATCTCATCTCCCTTGCTCGCTCGCTCGCTTCGGGCATCCCCTTTTTCAGGTCTTTGCCTGGTGGTGGCTTGGCATGGCAAGTGCAACATCATGTCCTCCCAAATCACCAAAGCACTAAGCCAAGCTAAGCGGCCTGTAGCAAGTGTGCGTATTCCTATGCCAATCTCCTGCCCTCCCTCCCCGTTTGCATCCCTGCCACACCCCCTCACTCTCTCTTGGTCTTTGGTTGGTCCTTTATTTTTTGGCTTTTGGGCTGCGCCTCAAACGAAAATGTATTTAATTGAAATTAAACGATCGTTTGTTGTTATATTCCCGGATGTTGTTGCTGTAATGCCACCATATACAAATCGCATTCGCTATACTCAATGTCCTTGCCACTCCCTCCCTCATTATGACGCACACCGCTCCCTTCGCTCCCCCCTGTACTCGCACCCCGCATTATTCCGAATTCCCTGCTAATGCCTTAATATATTGGCGTGTATCGTTTCACTATTTGCGGTTTGGGGTGGGTCGTGATTTCTACGGATTGTGCTGTTGCTACAGTGCTCTGGTGCGGAATGAGGGTAGAATGGCGCCCAAAAGTGATATTAATTGAGCGAAGGAACTAAGAGATTCATTCTGAAAATATATAGATTGTTTTACTCTCTAGATATGAGGCATCATACTTTGATAGTAATTTTGGATTAATCCATTTTACTCCTGTCAGGCGTGTCTGTTTTGGATCCACACTCTTTTCATATTCCTCATTTAAAGCTTCATTGATTACTACAGCATTTACTGTGCCCCATTTCTTGGCGGGCCCAAACTGCAACCCACCTAAAACTACTCCGCTCCTGTCCGCTGACAAATATGCTACGAGGCTAATGTTTTCATTATTGCGACACAATCGCGGCGGCATGCCACCCCTGGGTGAGCGATCAACAGGATAAGGGCCAGGGATTGGCAAAAACATGTGTTGCCAGTCACACAGCCGCCGTTCTGGATTGACGCTTGAGGCTGGAGAAGTGGCTGCAAGGAGTTCTGAATGAAGGACCCCTTTTTCTAGTACCGAACAGCCCTTGAGCAAGGTGTACCAGGCCAGAACCAGGCCATGACCAGGACCAGGACCAGGAACAGGACCGGGCCAATTTCGGTTTGGTGTTTGCTTGTTCTTAATAAGTAGGCCGCCACCTGGAGGTTTTTCATTTAAAACATTTTAATTTTCACTCGAATCCGAACCATTAATCGTATCTTTAGCGGTAGACATAGCCCCCACCGTCGTTGCCGCCTCCCGTCTCGTTGTCATCGCATCCGTGGCAGCCGCCACCTGCAGCCAGCAGGTCTAGTGCTTCCTGAATCTCGATGGGAATGGGTGGGGGCGTGGGCAGATGATCCCCCATCGGCTGGAACCCGTTCTCATCGGCAATGTAGGTCAGCGAGATGGCATCGCCCTCGGGACTAGTGTAGGAGAACGAGCCCTCGGCCACCTGCGCCTCGGACCCCTCCTCGCCTGCATTCTTCAGGTAGCCCATTTCCTCGGCTATAATGCCATTCCCGGTCTCGTATTCGTACTGTTGGGAGATCGGAGAGGAGGTTGGTTTGGTCTTAGCACTGGCTGTCCACTTACCTTATAAGAACCATCGGTGTTGACTTTGGATTCCAGCTTGATGATCGGTATATCCTCTCCTCCGCCTCCACCGCCACCGCCTCCCCCACCTCCTCCATTCCCATTTGATGGCGGTATATATCCGTTGTTAGGTGGAGCTGGCGGCGGTCCATAACTGGGCTTAGGCGGTGCTGGTGGCTTCTTTGGAGGCGGTGGTGCTCCATAGCTGGGTCGAGGAGGAGGCGGTGGTGGCTTTGGCTTTCCATTGGGCTTCGGAGGACCATAGCTAGTTTTGGGCGGCGGCGGTGGCTTTGGAGCTGGTGCTGGTGGCTTGGCGGGCAGATAGGTGGCCGGAGGACGAGCACTTGGATAGCCGGCAGGCTGGGCCCAAACGCAGCCCAAGGCGATGCAAACAGCGAGTACCAAGAGAGTGAACAGCTTCATCTTCAATGCGAACTGTGGCTGTTGGTCATCCACCCATGGGGTTTTATACACCCCACTCTCATACTCTGGCGTTGACCGCGACCTGTTGCCCCCCTCAGTGGGTCAGGCACGTGCCACGGCTTCCGATTGTAATGGGAAAAATGCAATGAAATCGAAATGCAAGCTGAAAACTGGGCCAATGCAAGTGCACTGGGAGAAATCCCCGTCAGATTACCCTCCAGCCAAATGCTAATAAATTGAGTGTGCAATCTCAATCGCCTTGAATCGCTTTGAATCAAAAAACCCCTTTTGGCTAATCGCTAAAAACAACAAAACCCGCCCGGCCACAAGCCAAAACTTTTAATTCAAAAGCAATTTTCAACAGGATCAGGCAACACCTGCATGACCAACCCGGTCTAGGGCAGGGCAGGGCTCGCCAGGGCAGGGTCCAACCCCGCCTGATCCTTTGCCTAATGCACTTTGCCTGTTGCCAAGGGGGTGCTAAGCCCTGGACCCGGTACAAGGTACACGATACACGGGACAACACCCGACAACAGCGACAGGGCTGTCGGCTTTAGTCAATCGTCTATTAACTTTTTGCCAGTTCTCGTTCTCCTTCTGGAGCGAGGACAGTGGGTCCACTTTCATTATATTGGAAACTGATAAGGCAATGGCTACAGTTTCTCCATCACTAACCTCTATACAGGGCTTACTAATGTATTTGAATGCTTTGGCACCACTGTGCCCTTGGCTTTGGCTGTGGCTGCTATTGTGTGTGTTTATCATTTGGTAGCTCAGCTTGTGCCTGTCGTGGATGCCGCTAATATTGAACCCTCCCCCAGATACCATAGTTGCAGTCATAGTCCATGGCATGGTATACAATGGCATGGCTAATGGCAATGTCGTTTGCAGCTTGTCCTACTTGTAATGTGCTGGCGCACAGCTGACGCGCTCCCATGGACCGACCGAGAGTGTGTGGATTTTGTGAACCTGTCCGGACCGAGCGCGGCGTCAGCTGTGGCCTGTTCGTAGCCGTAGCCCTGTGGCATGTGGAACGTACCATGTAGCCACCAAGCAACCACCACCCGGGAGAACCAGAAGAGCTGCACCGGCTGCATAAACCAACAATAGTCGGTCCTTGGTCCTTCGGCGGACGCTTCGATACGCACCCATTGCGCATATTCCACGCCCGCATTCGCATTCGCCGGGCATCGAGCACGGAACGATTCTTCATAAGGCGAATTCTGACAGAGCGGAAACGATCTGATTGCAATTTTTTCATTTCATTATTCAAGTTGTGGCTGTGTTGTTTTTGGCTAGGGTTGGCCGATTAAGTTCTTCTAAATAAACATTTAGATGAAGCCCGTTGATAAATTGGCCGCTGGCCCTCGCTGACAGCCTCAATTTGATGCGCGGGAATCTCTGCAACTGTTCCAAGGTCCATCAAATGCTAAAATAATAAGCCACATGGCAATGGCCCATGGGTTTTTCCTTAGATTAACCACGAGTATCTTCAGAAGTATCTCTTCAGAAGTGTATCGCCGATTCAATGTGTGGGCTTTCTTTTGCTTGATTCTCTGGCTGCTTGCTTAGAACAAAAGTTGGGCCATAAATAATGACGTAATCCGACTACGCAGAATAATATTTGTTTTCATTATACATATGTATCTCTTTGACTTATTTCGGCTGCTGTGCTCATCCCAGGGGCCGCTGCTCATCTTCAGTTGGAGTTAAAACACGAAGCGAACAACAACGATCACAAAAGTTCTAAGCTACTCGTACATATATTCCAAATCTATTCAGTCCCATAAAAGTGCAATGAAATTGGTTGGTATTCGTATTCAAGTTGATTACCGATGATAAACTTTTGATTTTTGTTGTTGTTTAGTTAAGACAAATCTTGTGTGTGATTTTGCTGTCGGCTTTGGTCTCGTCAGCGGCTCTAGAGAAGGGTGAGCGTGAGGAGGCTCTACACTTCAAGTAAGTCCGATGCGTTCTCTTCTTACGAATAAAGGTCCATCCTTTCCCTTTATCCTCATAAGTTTTCACACGGAAAACGGTCATCAGAGGACCGAGGACATAACCTACACGGTTAGGCCGGAAACGGATCGGGACGCGAAGGAGAAGGGTACCCCCAAACCCGTGGAGTATCGTGGCGGCTATAGCTTCATCTCAGCGGATGGCTACGAGTATCAGGTGCTCTACAAGGCTAATAAAAATGGCTTCCAGCCCTATGTGACGGCGCATAAGATCAAATCGGATAAGATCTAAAGACTAATATTTCTTTTGTGTTGTGATAGATGATAAATAAACCGAATTTTTAACTGTGTATTAAGCGTGGCTTCAAAGCTCTCTACGTTCGGGTGCCTGTCATGGCTAAGACAAGCTTTTGATCGTCGATCGTTAATCTTTTGGATACAGACAGGGAGATTGCTACATCAGCATATTAATGAGGGATACCCTAACCATTTCTGCGGCTATTGAGACTTTGGCACACAGCTAAAAACTGGTTTGGACCCAATTTAAGGTATATTTTCAAGGCTATTAAGATTCATTCCTCCCATTGAAAAAGTGGTTTTGTGATTTGAATTTCATTTTTGGTTTTAGGGTATACAATGGTCAGTTTTCCCTATAGAAAAACTTTCTTTTCGTGTGGTTGCTTGATTAGTTTTCCATTTTATGGCATTTTAAATGTAATGCACATTTTCGAGAGTCGCTTGCGGCTGCGTGTGTGGAACTCTTTTCTGTTTTATTATGCAAACAAAATTAGAGACAAGGGATTGGGCAACCACCGTGGGCTTACTCAGCAGTTCCTCGAGGGCCCCGTCATTAAAGGTGGTCGCAGATGAGTCTCTTGGCTGTGGCCTCGACGAAGCAGATTCATTTGACTGCTAGCCGCGTTGGTCGTTGGTTGCGTTGCTCTTCGGTGGATACCTTCGAACAATACCCGGTACCCGTAAAGATGATGAATATATTTTTTTTTGTTGGCACTAGCTGCAGCAGCGGGAAGGAGTCTGGAAATCGTCTCAACATCAACAGCAAGTTGGTCCACGGATTGGTCCTGTTGCTGGCTTGCATTCTACTAGGCGCCAACATCAACAGCGCATCCTTTGCCCCCGGAACTGTGCTGGATATCATGCTCGGTGAAACTACTGTGGAGCAGCTAAAATATATACCCCTCGCCGACGGTTATGAGTTTGGGTGAGTTTGGGTTTGCTTTTGGTCACATTCTCCTTTTGAATACTAATCTCCAACCCATTCTTTGTTCAGTTACACCCTACCCAATGGCGCTCATCGCGATGAGATTGGAAAGGTGTTAAGTGGCACTTCGGCCGCCAAGGATCTGGAGAACGCCAACAACTTGGCACGCAACCATCGTCCCTCCCGCGAAAATGGCCTAAAGGTGCGCAAGCTCTCTGGCAAATCCCTCGCATCTCTGGCTGGTTAAGCACCCCCTCCCCATCCATCCATACATCATTTTTTTAAAATAGTTTTCCTCTTGGAATTAGCCGCCATAGTGGACAAAACTGTGCCAACTGCTTTAGGTTTATTTATTAGTATACATATGTATGTGCAATCTTTGCAAAAGCCAATAAACATTGATTGATCAAGCAAAAGTGATATGGTATGTATGTACATATGTATACGGTTCGTAAAATTCGCATTTCTGATGCCATTTTGTTTGTTGCGCATTGCGCAATGCGTTCAGTTAATGTAAACAAAATGCGAAGAGATGCAGATAAAATGGTGTGTAAATAATGTGAAAATTTTGATAGATTATAGTTTTGAGTCGCTACAGGTCCCAGGTTAAATCAAATCGAAATTTTCAAAACCATATTAAACAGATTAAACGGATGTTGGATATTTTCTGGGGTACGGAGGTAACGTATATATTAAATGCTTTGGGGAAACAGCTTATACCAGACACAACTATATATACTCCTATGGCAAGGTACCTTTTTTGGTTAGCGTTAATTCAAATTAGTTGCTAGAAAACATTCAATGACTACATCTTTCACTAAAAACAAACAGCTTTAAATTCTTTAATAACTGCTCCAGAAGTTGTTGAGTTTTTGAGGCTTTGAAAATTAATTTTAAATGAAGGCAAAATCATATAAGCCTACAAAATTAATGAGTATTTGGGTGGGTGCTGCGAGCCCATTTACATTTATCAGAAATTATGATGGAATTTCAATTAATCTGTGCATGGATTACAATCAGAAATTTTTAATGCGAAAATTGCATTGACTTTAAGTTTATTTCGTATTTAATTATTTAGTATTTTTTAATTGAACTACAAAATATTCACACATACTTAAATTTTTAGTTCCACTGCCTGAAAGTATGCCATTGAAGCAATGGGGGGCTTAAAGCCATTCAAGTTTTTTGCTTAAGTCTTTTGACTTGCAGCAAGAAACAGAACTGAAAACAGGTTTTTAGTTTTGAATGCTTCCATCGTCAATGTACAAAGCACTCGTATTTTATGAACTAAAATTTAGTAATAAATGTTGTAAGTGGAAATGCAGGCAAAGTGCAGATAAATTTAAATTTAATTGCACTTCACGGCTATCAATCGCTCGGTAGGCGTTTTTTTACCCCGAAAAACAACATTTATTGTGACCAGCTGAAGATGCATAAAATACAACCGAAATATAAAGAACCGAAAAAATGGTCAGAGCCAGCAATAAAATTAAATTATACGCACCATTCATAATGTCAAGTGTCAGGCAGAAGTATTAAGTATTTCTGTGTTTCTGCTTTTGCGGCATGCAAATATTACGAAACGAATGCTTCGAATGATAATAAAGAAATGAAAAAACAACACCAATGTGACATTTACATACTTCAAGAATTGCGGGAGTGCAGGACAGGGGGGGCAGAGCAGGGGCGGTATAGAAAGAGACGGGGAGACAAGCTATTAAAACATTGCCATTATCGCGCAAGTGCTAATTTTGCAGACCCACTTGAAGAGGCAGCTTGAGGAGAGGACGGACAGGCGGCCGAGCCGGCGGGTTGAACGTGAAAATCCGAATCCGAGTCCGAAATACGAAACCCGAAACCCGAAACCCGATTCCGCGGCCGAACTCGTGCCGAGCCAAAGCCGGTCTGGGATCCACTCTGTGGTGTGGTGCGTGCCGCCTGGGAGCGAGCGAGTTGGCAACAGCAAACGGCAGCTGAATGGGCAGGCGGACAGTCGAGCTGATAGACGGACAGACTGACAGGCAGATGGACAGACGGACAGAGCAGAGAAGCAGCATCTGGCGCTGACCTTGAAGACGTAAATGTGAAGACGCATCCATATAAATATGTATTATATCTGTGGCTGTGGCTGTGGCTGTGGCTATGTCTGGGACTGGGGCCGATACCTTGGTGTCTGTGTGTATAGAAAGCGACAGCGGAGCCCAAACAAGAGAACCTCTTGTTCTCAAAGTTGAAAAACCTGTCGATTGAAGCTTGATTAGAACAGTTATGTAAATGATTGCATAAATTTATATATAGTTAAACGATAAGGAAGAAATATATTCACGCTGTTCGTCTTCTGATACGAAAAGAGTATATCTGCATATGTACCTATGTATATGTGGACGGGTATCTGTGACAACGCCCCCGCACTCACGAACATACCGTTTCACACATGGACCGATCAATCAAAGCCAGATTAATTATGCTAATCAAGCATGATAAATGCAGCTCGCTGCAGATGCCCTCCAAAAGCCGCAGAAGAAGATCAACTAATACATATTATGCAGTCACAAGAAATAATGGAATCAGCTTTATTTTCAAGGGCCGAACCTTATTAGCAGAAGCTTAAGCTCCTGTCAGTATTTAAGGTTGGGGATGCCTAGAGATGCCAAAAAAACTATAGCCCGTTCTCGGTTGGTCATATTTTTTGGAAACGTAAATAATATGGACATTCTTCTCTAAGACTTATAGTTCTCCTTAAAGTCCACAGAATTTTGGCACGATTTTCACCTTCGTCGGTCTGTCTGTCTGCCAGCTTCTTAAAATAAGGTTAGCTTTGAAGGAAACCAAACCTATAGGAAAAAATTCAAAATGCCAAATTGCAGCTGCCAGAAAATCAAAGAAGAAAATGTATTTTTAAACGGCATTTGAGGAAATGCCAAAATAAATGTCCAACACCCTGCCAATACTTAGGAATAAGATGAAGCAGTTGGCACAATTTCAGACATTGTGACCACGAGTGCCCACGGAGATGAGAGGAGAGGAGAGGAGAGGAGGATGGCGGAGAAGGAGGACCATGGCGAGCCAGGGTCCGACAGATGACCAATACAAAAACTCGACTGACCGGCTTGGATGAGGCTTCTTCTTCGGCCTGTAGCGGTCAACGAAGGTGGCATAAATTGGCAAACAGAAACGGAGACAGAAAATAAAAAATAAAAAAAAACCCACCACAAAAGTCAGAGATTTAAATTGCATGCGAGCTGTAGTTGTAGGTTACTCGATGGATTTTCGTATTTTTCTTTTACTATTTTGGTGCTTGTTACCAAGCACATGGAGGCAGCAGCAGTAGCAGCAGCACATCAATCGAACGCTGTAAAGGCCGTTGCATATGCCAAAAGTCATGCTGGGGCTCCGTCTTCTTCACTGCCGCCTGTCCAGTCCATCTGCGACTGCCGTGTACTTTGGCCATCACACACAGTCATATGTGTATGTACCTGCCACAGCCGCATCCTCAGGCCCAGATTAGAGACGGAGTGGAGTGCCCATGTCCGCGGCTTGAACTTGCTGCCCTGCAAATTGCAGCTCGACAGTACTTGAACTTTGTTGTGGGTGGCTGCTGTTGCAGGCACAGTGCTGGCTCGGTCTCGGGTTTCCCATCGTTCTAGCTTCCCATGGCATCTGTCCCCAACCTTTTCCCATGCCTCATCTGGCTGGCTGGCTGGCTGGCTGGCAAGCATGAACTTTTTCAAATTTTCTAAAGCTGCCACTGTTGGTTGCTTTGTTGGTGGCGGCTGGCTATAATACCTTTCAGCCGAGTACATCGATGCACAAAGCCGCTTTAAATGTTACTTGTCGCAGCGACTTTGGCGACTTTGGTGCATCTTTGGTAAATTGAAAAAAAATAAGTAAAAAACACTTACCCGGCGACCGCCAGAGCCACGTTTGTTAGCTTCTTCCACAACTGTGCAAATTTATGACGTTTGCAAATGCAGCCCGACTGCAGTATAAAATGCAGTGGATCCCAATGCATCGCCACCATTAGACAGTCGGTAGTTTGTCCATTCGCAGGTGAACGCTTCGAGAATCGCGCAACAAGATGAAACTGGTAACGTTAAATCGAGGATTACGATTACCTTGTCGAGGATAACATGATCTTTGGTGTCCTTTGCACAGATGCTAGTCGTTGGATTTATGGCCCTGATCGCCCTGGCCACCGCCCGTCCCCAGAATGATGTGGAGGTGCTGGAGTACGAGTCGGAAAACATTGGCATTGGCGGCTACAAGTTCAGTTACAAGCTCAGCGACGGCACCACCCGCTCCGAGGAGGGTACGGTCAACAATGCTGGCACCGAGAACGAATCCATCTCCATCCGCGGCTCAGTCAGTTGGGTGGCACCGGACGGTCAGACATACACTATCAACTTTGTGGCCGATGAGAACGGCTTCCAGCCGGAAGGTGCTCACCTACCCAAATAGGATGATTATTCCCCCTGGAAGATGATCCTGTAAATACACCATCCCCCATCATGCATTCTGCATCCTGTATCCAGTTTCCACCTGCTTTCCGCCACCACCACGCCGTAGCCTTAGGACGAGAATGAGGGAGGTGCTGTGCTGTGCTGTGCCAGTTTCCTCAGTTAGTAAGTCGATCAGTCAGTCAAGTCAGTGTCGTGCATTGTTTTTTTTTCTTATTTGTTACTCGCATTAAAGCCGAACTTTCGATTTTCGAAACACCACATCTACATTTATTTACAAAATACAAGGAATATGACAATAAGCCAACGTTTAGACGTGGGGAATGTGTGCGCCCTGAGGCTGGAATCCATTCTCATTGGCGGTATAGGTCACGGTGTAGGTCTGGCCATCGTCTCCCACATAGGTGTAGGAGCCGGACACCTGGAGGGCATCTTCTTCGGGGCCAAGTTTCTTGAGTGTGGCCTGCTGCTCCTGCTTGCTGCCATCGCTCGTCTCATAGGAAAAGTTGTAGCCATCGGCCAGGACCTGCGATTCCTGTTTGACGATCTGCACCTCATCGGCGGGTGCCGCGAGGCACATGGAAATCGAAAGGAGGGCAATCAGGAGGACACACTTCATCTTTGGGCTTTGCTTGGTACTGCTCTGGCTCTAGTCTCTCCCCGACATGGCGTTTATATGGAAAAAAGACCATTGCTTAATGCAATTAGCACTTGGAGTGAAGACATCATCATATCATCCTGATATGACCGGCTCCAGCTGAGGTCGGATAGTGTTAATTGAATCTCTGCTTGAGGGGCAGTGAAAATGAAAAGCAAACAGTCCAAACAGATTATCGGATGTCTGTTAAGAATTGTGGTTTCTTCGAAGAGTAGTCTCCCCAAGATCTTGGACCTGGTCGATATGCGAAAACGATTTACAAGAAACAGTTTCTATGTCTTCCAGATATGTATATAGATATGTATACATCTATTTTTAAAATGTTTTAAATGAATTTCCATACATGTGGTTTAGAGGCCCAAACTAGTATTGATTTCAAGCTGTGTGTCTTTCATCGACATTTTAAACTAGTTCCCGACGTTCGACGTCTCAACTCAAAATCAGACTATAAATAGTCATATGACCAAACCAACAGCATTAGTTATCTTTGAAGACTTCAACGATCCACACAATCCTTTCAACATGAAGTTCGTCATCGTCCTCGTTGCCCTTTTCGCCCTGGCCGCTGCCCGTCCCAACCGCGATGCGGAGACCCTCCGTTACGATTCGAATGTCGAACCCGAGAACTACAACTACAAGTAAGTCATTAAATAAATTCAAAATCCAAGGATCAGCTCCTAATTTGAACTATTTTTACAGTGTGGAGACGAGTGATGGAAAGTCGGTTGCGGAGGAGGGACATGTGGAAGACTTGGGAACTGAAGAGGAGGCCATCGTCGTGAAGGGCTCTTACTCCTACATTGGCGACGACGGTGTCACATACTCCGTCAACTACATTGCCGACAAGAACGGATTCCAGCCCCAGGGCGCTCATATTCCTGTTGCCTAAGTTTACGAAATTAAAATAAATCAGGTCATAAGAAAAACATTTCGTGTTATACTTTTCCAGTGGATATTTTTGTTCTATAGTTTCCCATTTCAGCATTTAAGACAGATTTAATATTTCAAAAGAAATATTTATAAGCAGTATCAATCGATCGTTGATCTTAATTTTACTGCTTGAAATTCTTTTCTTTACCAAAAAACGTTACTCCTCTCTCATAACCCAAAAATTGGGTGAGGGCATAAAGATTATATCTAAACAAGATAAAGCACTTCCTGACTGGAATTGTTATTAAAATTGGCTAAAAAAAAGCCAAAATTAATATTAAATTAGACAGTCATCCAGAAAATATCTAGATCTAGATAAAAAGAACAAACTTTGCCGCTAAGAAAAGATCAGTTTTTAATTTGAAAGCTTAATACTTCCTAGACGCTAAGCTAAAGCTACACAAATTTGAGGTCCTATTTATAGTTGCATCTATCAGTTTTTCAAAATTGAAAATTTCAATAAAACCAGATGTACTTATGTTATGTGAAAAAAGAAGCATAACCTCTAGAAATATAACCTAATAAATAACATTATAAAACAAAAACCTTGCCTTAGAAGAACAAAATTAACTTGTTACAAAAATTGTAAAAAACCAAATCTATCAGAAAAAGTCAGTTGGGTTGAAAGCGTAAAAATGCTGTTGCATGGTATATTTATTGGATATCTGAAAATTGTACGTACATACTTTGCATAACTATGTGTCATCTTGTTCTTTTAGCTACGGATACCTAATATATGTCTGAAGTGCAGGAACTATAGAACAAATATCCACTGGAAAAGTATAACACGAAATGTTTTTCTTATGACCTGATTTATTTTAATTTCATAAACTTAGGCAACAGGAATATGAGCGCCCTGGGGCTGGAATCCGTTCTTGTCGGCAATGTAGTTGACGGAGTATGTGACACCGTCGTCGCCAATGTAGGAGTAAGAGCCCTTCACGACGATGGCCTCCTCTTCAGTTCCCAAGTCTTCCACATGTCCCTCCTCCGCAACCGACTTTCCATCACTCGTCTCCACACTGTAAAAATAGTTCAAATTAGGAGCTGATCCTTGGATTTTGAATTTATTTTATGACTTACTTGTAGTTGTAGTTCTCGGGTTCGACATTCGAATCGTAACGGAGGGTCTCCGCATCGCGGTTGGGACGGGCAGCGGCCAGGGCGAAAAGGGCAACGAGGACGATGACGAACTTCATGTTGAAAGGATTGTGTGGATCGTTGAAGTCTTCAAAGATAACTAATGCTGTTGGTTTGGTCATATGACTATTTATAGTCTGACTTGGGGTTCGGCAGCTGGAACTAGTTTAATGTCTTGCAAATTGTAAAATATGTAAATGCAATGCAGAGCAGAAGAAACGAGAAAAGCTAATGCTAATTTGTAACTTTTTTGTTTATCGTTTGTGTGTCGACTGCATAAAAAATATTTGATAAAGTCGTGGGCACAGTAGGAGAAGAAAATTGAAGCTTATTGGATTTTTTGTTTTAAACAAATTGATTTTTTCTTTATTCATTCATCATCGTTTGTGTGGAAAAATCCATATTAGGCAGCAGGGGCCACGGGCAAGTGAGCGCCCGAGGGCTGGAAACCATTCTCATCGGCAACGTAGGTGACGGTGTAGGTGACACCATCATCGCCGACAAAGGAGTAAGATCCATGGACGACGATGGCCTCATCCTCGTGGCCAGTGTTCTTCAGCACACCATCCTCCTGCTTCTTGGTGCCATCGCTGGTCTCCAGGGCGAAGCTGTACTTCTCAACTCCCACATCGGAGTCCAGGCGGACGATCTGCACATCACTGGGGCGGGCGGCGGCCACGGCGAAGAGGGCGAAGGCGAGAACAATGACGAATTTCATGTTGAAGGTGCTGTTGTGTTCCTTAGAATGCTGACAACTGTCTGATGCTCCACTGCAGTTTGGTGGAGGCATTTATACTCGCTTAATTCGCGAAATGCAAAAGTCAAAGGTGCACAGAATTTGGCAGATAGTATTTATGTATGTAGATCAGTTTAGATAATGAGCAGCGCATCGCATCGCATTATTGTTTCCGGTCAAACTGGAATACCGGTATGAATCGGAATGCGCGTATCTAACTATTGTTGTGTTGTCACATAACCAGATCTACTCCTCTGCAGTGGGATGCGAGATGGAGATGGGATCTCTGGAAGGAAGGCAGGTGGAATGGAGGCATGATTCAGCTCGATTTTCTTGCCGCGTTTATTTAATAATCAACTTAAAACCATTATAGATAGAACAGCTCTCGGTTTGCGCTTCCAGCTTCCACTTTAGTTGCCAATGGGCACATTGGGCAGATGAGCGCCCTCGGGCTGGAAACCGTTCTCATCGGCGATGTAGTTGACGGTGTAGGTCTGACCGTCATCGGCCACAAAGGAGTACGATCCGCGGACGACGATGGCCTCCTGTTCGGTGCCGACGTTCTTCAGCTCTCCCTCCTCCTGGTGCTTCTTGCCATCGCTGGTCTCCAAACTGTCAAAAGGATGTTGTTAATGGTAATCCTCAAAGCCGATCGAACCGATTAAATGACTTACGCAAAGTTGTAGCCCTCGGGCCTAACGTCCGACTCCAGGCGCAGGATCTGAGCGTCCGCATCGGGGGCGGGGGCAGCCAGCACCACGGCGAGGAGAGCAGCGAAGACGAGGGCGATCGTGTACTTCATGGTTGATTGGATTGGAGTATTGATTGTGCTTTGATACGTGATGAACTTGCGACCGAGCGGCTAGTCAATGTTACTTGATTTGTGATGTCTGTGGCCATGTCCAGGCGCTTATATAGTCGGGTCGGAGGCCGTCGATTGAAGAAAATTTAGTCGAAAATAAAAATGACTAATTACACGCCGAGCACCAAAGCTAACAAATTGTCTTGAAAAACGCACCAACAACAGATGAAACAACGAAAAAAACAACAACAAAAAATATACACAACAACAAAGAAATATTAACGAAAAACAAAAACTTCTAAGGCAAACAAATCGATGCCGTTTTTAGGAAATACCTCATCATCATTTGCATTTTTCGTGAATCAATCACAGCAATCGTTTCCAAGTTAAAGAAGACAACAGCCAACAAATTTTTGATAATCCACGGGTGTATTCATAGTTTTTGGTAGTGGGATCGAGCGAGGGAGCGGGAGAAGAGGGGCTAGCCCCTGCAGCAAAATTCAGTATCAACAATCATATGTGCTCTGACAACTGGAAGTTGGTTTTCCTTCAATTAGTAAGTAGCTGAGAATCCAAAGACTCCCATACATGTATACGTATTCGAAATATATGGAATATCCTTACGAAAATCTAAGAAACTCGAAGAATCGTACATGTATATATTTTTAGTACGAGTGGTATTATCAGAATGTCTGTTACGTTACGTTTCACTCGTACGACAAAAAGTTTAAACAAATAATTATTAAAAAGTTAAATTCTGAAAAAATTGTGTTTTTTAAATAGTACTATAATTATGTAGCCCTATATTTACCAAAAAAAAAAAAACAAAAATCAAACATATGGTTTTAAAAACATATATACGCCCAAAATATGCTTTGGCGATACGTTACAAAAAACAGAAGTGGTTTTTGAGGTTGGGCTACAAAATTGCCAAACTTGGTGAATTGTGTAAGACCAACTGTATAAAATTTTTTGTGCATATATATGAAATATTCAGTGTTCATTTTCCAAGCTTTTTAATACATATAAACCTTTGCTATTTTTTTGTTTTGTTATAAATTCCCGAAACTTCAAATACATGTGAATAAATGTAAAAGCTTGCCAACGACGTCTCACTTATTTTCCAGAAGATAATCCCACCTTAATCCAATCGAAACAATTCTACTTTTTTTGCGTAAATGAATCTTTTTTTATTATAATGTTTCTGAGAGGAAAACTTAAACATAGTTAACACATTGATGCTGGATGGACTGGAAGGTACTTAGACTTCCATCTAAATGCGATTCCATATCGAAAGGGATTTACTGAACGGCACGGGGCAGATGTGCGCCCTCTGGCTGGAAGCCGTACTTATCGGCTAGATAGGTGATGGCGTAGGTCTGTCCATCGTCTCCAACATAGGAGTAGGAGCCGCGCACCACAAGCGCCTCGTGGTCGGTGCCCACGTCCTTCAGCTCTCCCTCCTCCTGGTGCCTCTTGCCATCGCTGGTCTCCACGCTGAAATAAGAGAGAAAACCAGTAAGTGTTACGACCTTGACACAGTGACAAGTCGGTTGGGGGATCGTGTGATTGGAGAGTGAGAGGCACTTTGCTTAATAAAGGCAAACACTTACGCGAAGTTGTAGCCCTCGGGCTGAACATCAGAGTCGAAGCGCAGCACCTGCGCCTCCTGCTGGCTGGCCGGAGGAGCAGCCAAAGCGGTGGCCAACAGGCAGGCGACGGAGAAGGCAATGGTGAACTTCATCTTGCTGGAGTCGGAGTTTTTGGCTGGGACTAGGCTTGGGTGCTGTGCTGTGCTGTGCTGTGTGTTCGAGGAGCTTGCAGTTAATGCATGCAATTCGAATATCGAGTGGCCAATTTATAGCAGCATCGACTCGCGATTTTCGACTGGCGACGACTCCTTTGGCAATGTAATGTAATGTAGTGCGTGTAATTACCAGAGAAACCGAAACTGAAACTGAAACCCAAAGCCGAAATTGAAAGAGTAAGTGCAAGACCAAGAGAAACCCGTTTCTCATTTCTTTCCTTTGACCCAAAGTCAGAGTCTTAGCGGCGCCGCGGTTACCTAACCAGGTGACTGCTTGTTTGGCGATTGATTGATTGCTCAGCGACAAGCAAAAGGTACATAGACTTCATTTGTTTTATACAAATTAAACACACAAAGTGCCCAGCCCAAGCCCAAGCCCAGTCCCGAGCCATGAGTTGCGTTACTTTGCCTAGAAACAGTCCGATGAATGGTACAATAATTGGGTCAAAGCTGGAATTTAGCTCAAGTGCAAGTGAAATGCAAAGCCAAAGGTCGGAAAAAGTATATATTATTAACAATATCAGTTATCATTCGACTCGGACTCATCCAAGAAAAATAGTATCTTCGTTTATCAGAAAAGTGCAGATCTTACAGCTCAAGCTAAAGGAATAGCTCCCTGAAATGTTAGTCCCTTGTATCCACATTTCCATGTCGATTATCCACTCTGAGCCTATCCTTCCCAGTCCATTGTGCCATATATTTCAAGGCATATTCAAAACAGCTGCTGCTTTCAAATGACAGACAACGCCTAGAGGTACACTTTGGTTTTAGAGGGTTAAGGCGAACACAACACCATTTGAACTTTTTCGAACGTCTTCGCAATGTGGCTGCTTTCAATTTCATTTGGACTTGATTTGGGGTTTTTGGTGGCACTTTTTTCGTTTGCTTTGTTTTCGAGTCATTTGGTGGCTGTTCGCAATTTTATTACACACTCGCCGCGCTTTTGGCCGTTAATTAGCCTCAAAGTTCGACTTAGTATCAATGATTGGGATTGGGGGACATGGATATATTGTACAGACTTTGCGCAACTCGCGTTAGTCGCATGCGCGGATCGGCACAGGACAGGTACGGTACGACAGATAGATGGCCAGACAAACGTTGATCCCCATCCTGGCCGGCTTCTGCCTGTGCCTCTGTCTGTGCTTCTCGGATGCAGATGCGGCCAGCGATGGTTCCAATGCGGCACAGATATTGAAATACGAGAATGAGAAAATGGATGGCGACGGCTATGCCTTTTCGTAAGTGTTTGGCTGTGGATCTTGATCGGAAAAGTACTCAAAGATATGTATATCGTTTTCCCACAGGTTCGAGACGAGCGATGGTATATCGCGGCAGGAGACAGCCACTCTGAAGCATCCCGGTACGCCGTTGGAGGCCATTGCCGTCCAAGGCAGCGTCAATTGGGTGGGACCCGATGGTGAGCACTATAAACTCAACTATCTGGCTGATGAGAACGGTTTCCAGCCGCAGGGCGAGCATTTGCCACAGTTGGAAGCCACTCGCACGGCCTGAACACTGATCACGTGATAGCATTGGACTTTGTGAAACAAATTAAATCACCAAATATGTAGCAGGAGGAGCAGAAGAGCAGCAGGAGAGGAGGAGAGAAGACACAATAGAAATTAAATATAAAATAGCATATAGACACATGAGTTCGTCTGTATACTACCGACGACGGATAGACGGTGGAGTGCTGTTCGGGCATAAATTTTCACCCATCGAAATTGAATTGTATTCTAAGCATGGAATTAGCATATACATCTACATATACGAGTATCTTCGAAACCAGTTTGCACAGCCACTGCCCCTGTCCCTGTCTTCCTCCGTCAGAGTATGTCTTGGATATGGGGAGCACGGGTATGCCGTAACAGAGTAGCTTCACTCTGGGAGCTGACCGAACCGGTTCAATAAACACCCAACAAAGGTTGCCAAAAAACATAAAAAAATCCAGCAACAATTAAAGAAGACACAATGCTGGCAACGAAAGTGAGAACTCGCAGTCCCGGGAGACCATTGTTATTGTTGGACTATTGAGTAGCCTCTCCTCTTTTATCAATCGCTAAATATGAAATAATCAGTCCTGTCTCAGCCTAGACATGTCACTTCAGATGATTGACGAGTGTGTGGGTCCACTGTTTGGGGGTGGCAGCGCCTCGACAAATGACCTGCAATCGCATTACTCATACGCCCGATGGGTTATTGTAGGGCATAGCACGACCGCAGACACTGAACTGAAAGTGTCAGATATTGGCTGTTGTTGCCGCTTCTGCTTAACTGGTAAAAAATCGTTTTTCATTTTATTGACTAAGGTCATCAACCAACACACAGGCCGATGCTGACGTTGAAGCTGAAGCTTCGATGCTGGGGCGCTGAGGCGCTAAGGCACTGAGGCAGTGACGATGCTGGTGATTGTGATGGGCGATGATGAAGCCGCGTAATCTTGAATCTCTCGTGCCGCATCTTCACTTGAACAGCAAATGCAGCTGTTGAGGTTTTTCGTATCGTTTCGTTTCGTTGAAATATCTTTGGAGGTTAAAACGCCCAGCCTTAATCGTGAATTATGTCAGCATTCAGCAGCAGTTGTGTCAGGTCGGAAATGCTTATCCAACAACTAAAATCTGCACTTAAGTAATTTAAATATTATTAAATTAAATGGAAGGTATCCAAATTAAAGTTTTATTTAATGAAATTCTTGGTAAATTCAGGGTTCTATGAACCCAACTACATGTTGGATCTTTTCCTGTTCTTTGGATGTTATTTGTTTTTCATGGGTAGCTATGTTATTCACACTTCCTTACTGCTTAATAGTTGAGATTATTCTCTATTAATTCCTTTGATACAACTTAATTTTTACCCTGGCATACGACTGCAAAGGGTATTATGTTTTACAGCATAGAAGGGGATATATGATTTAAACAAACATGATTTCAATCATTTTCTAATTTTAATAATAAATTTGTTTCTAAAGCTTCCAAAGAAACAATCGGTTGAAAAGCAAGACTTTTTTCGATTAAATTTTTGTACTTTAAGAAATAATTCTATTAGAAATTACCTGTTGTAGTCCATATACACTGATGTCTCATTATAATATCGATAATATAAATACTATATCTTATAGTTTATTTTGTATAATTGTTCGTAAGTAGTTTTTCCTTTCAAACAGCGACAAATTCTATCAAATTTCGATGTAAATCTAAACCAATTTCATAACAAAGGGTATCTAATGTTTCGTCTTCCAATACTAGACTTCCTTGCTCGTTTTTTGTGGCTTATTTTTTCATAACAATTTGTTTATAAGTACAAACATAGCCATTGACCTATTGCCACATATATCGTACGAAATGTGTGGCTTGTGTGTGTGTGTCTTTGTGTCTGTGTGTATTGTACTTATAGACAAACACGCGCATTGGCCAAATATTTGTGAAGAGGCCCAAACATTTCATTATCACTTGCCCCATCATGCCCCATCTTCATCGCCATCGCTATCGCCATATCCATCTCCGATCTCCATCTTAGCTCTCCATCTCCATTTGTTGCTTCCAGCTCCCGTGGCGAAGCAATTGAGATGAGATTTGAGCGCACATCAAATGCCTAATGGGTTTTATACTCGTATTTTTTTGTGTCTTGTTCAATTAAAAGCTTAAGACACTCTCCAGCACACTCGTACACATTCGCTTGCCTTCAATTATATGCGTATGGGTGGATTATTAGGTGTTTGTTAGGGGCCACCTCTCTACGAGTCTTTTGTGGGGTTTCTTCACGGATCGACGGCTCTCTGTCTATATATATATATATATATGTGTGTGTGTGTGTGTGTGTGTGTGTGTGTGTGGTGTCTGGGAAGCACTTGGAGCTGGTCGGGCTGTTATAAATAGCTCAACGCTCATTACAGGGCAACACACAACTCGTTAGCACCTAATTGTGATAACTACCGGAGCGTGCAGTGCAAACCTAAGTCAAAACTCCACAAAGGATATTTTTAAAAGTCAAACAAACAATATACAAAAATAAACATGCAGTCCATCAAAGTTTGTGTCCTGGCATTGTGCGCTTTTGTCCTTGCGGCCTCGGTCAGTGCAGCTCCCTTGGATGACTCGAAACAGGCCACAATTCTTCGCTACGACAACGACAACATTGGCACCGATGGCTACAACTTTGGGTGAGAGTTTTGAGAAGACACTTCATGGATGGAGAACACCTGGAATAGATTTTCTTACATCCCTTTTTCCTCCCTGATTTCAGCTATGAGACCAGCGATGGTGTTACACGCCAGGAGCAGGCTGAGCTGAAGAACGCCGGCACCGATCATGAAGCTCTCAGCGTGCGGGGATCCGTCAGCTGGGTGGCGCCCGATGGCCAGACCTACACCCTCCACTACATTGCCGATGAGAATGGCTTCCAGCCCCAGGGCGACCATCTGCCCCACAATTAAAATGATAAATGTGGCACATTTTGTGGCCTACGCTTAAACAGTATTTGTTTTTTTTTTGTAAAATATATAAATATCCTAATAATATGTATTATCAGCCAGGCTCCGTTTTTCACATTCACAAAAGTTTTCCGATTTACTTTTGAATACACATAAATTGGGGCTCCCGTTTTCGCATTCCACAAGACTTATTCGATTTCAAAACGAAAAAATTTTCGTTGTATAAAATGCCGTTTACAACGAAACGAACCTTAATTGCAAAAGGAAAAAAATAGACGACTTATTGATGCATTAACATAAACTTGACACCTATATCATTGTAATTTAACTTTAGCTTTCTTCAAATTTGGCTCGGAAAAAATTGGCCAGGGTAACAACATTTTTCGTTTTGGTGCAAATAGCAAAAATATGTGAAAACTGGAGAACCTTTAAACGAAAACGAAAAACGAAGCCTGCCTGAATATTAATTTTAAGGTTTTATGACGTCAATGTGAGTGAAGGAACTGGATCAAAGAAGTTCTTAAAATGATCAGCGTTTCTTCAACCCGGATCAATGTGAATGCTATGCAAATCTTAAGATTCGTTTTCTTTTTGTGTGGAATAATATCCATAACATGTTTGGAGCATAATGAAAAGAAAAGTATGACACAAAAGAAGTTTTGGGCTTCTGTATGGCTTTGATATATTTCTCCCTATATTCTCCATACGCCCCGTTGGACATAGGCTAGCAGGTATCGTTGTCTCGTCCGGATGACCTTCGTATGGCTGAAATTTGCAAATTTTTGGCACGTTGAAACTTGTTTGGGTTTTTGTTTTCTTTGTAATTAATACATAATTAAAGCCGCGCATATGGAAATATGTGCGAGCGATCTGGCCACGAATGAAAACGAAGTTTCTGAAGGTTAATTTCTGGCGCTGATTTAAATTTCATGCGGTGCTAATGAAATTTGGAAGATGCCAGCCAGAAATACACACACAAAGCACACACCACACAGTCCAACCAACAATCGCATTAATATGCATGAAATAAAAAGTGACAATGATCAAACTAGTTTGGGATAAGCCGATTCCGATGCCGATCCGATCAATCGCTCGTACTGACTTCTGCTTCTTTATTTAATGATGCTGCCGCTGACGTATGTAGTTGCCATGCCCAATTGCGGGTTGAGTATGATCTGCATAAATGTGTGATCAATTTACATATCTATTATCATGGAACTTCTGCTGACCAGCCGCTTACATTTTGCACGCTTTTCCCTTATGCGGCTGCCCGGAATTGTGTGGGTTTGAATGTTCTGCAGGCTTGAATGTTCATCTTTTTACATTGTAATTGAAATCTGTTTTTGAATTCCTTATTAGGGGTACACCTTCCTATCGAAGAAAATTTCAAATTCTTCACACAAGTGTAAGGTGTTCAAAAAGTGATTTGTTTCTTGATAAAAGGATACCTTACTTTCTTCATTATTATTATATAAAATATAATATAGTATATGTTATATTGTTCCCTTGAATGCAGATGCCCTCTCGCCCACTGAGAATGGAGACCAAGAGCACAGCTTGGCTTGCATTTACCCCAAGTATTCAGCTCTCTTGGTAGATCAAATCTATTATGTTTGGTACGTGTTTGACTAGTTCCGCTGCCGCATATTAAATAATAGCAACATATTTATCTCTATAAAAGAGTAGACCTAGTCATAGTTGAGTATCATTCGAGAACCGAAGACCAAACAACAAACAACCAACAATCACCATGAAGTTCCTCATTGTCTTCGTTGCCCTCTTCGCCGTGGCTCTTGCCGCTCCTGCCGATGATGTGACTGTCCTCCGCCAGATTTCCGAAGTCGGACCCGAGAGCTTCAGCAATGCGTAAGTTATTCAAGTTCAGCATCAAGGATCGACTCTAATCTTTATCTATTTGGATAGCTACGAGACCAGTGATGGAACATCCGTCCAGTCCGAGGGACAGCTGAAGAACATTGGAGCCGAGAACGAAGGCATCGTCTCCAGAGGCTCGTACAAGTTTGTGGCCGATGATGGACAGACCTACACCGTCAACTGGGTCGCCGATGAGAACGGTTTCCAGCCCTCCGGCGCTCATCTGCCAGTTGCCAATTAAGTTAATCCACAGAAGTCAACTTTGATTCAGTCCCCTGTTAATATCCCCAAAAAATATCCCAAAAGCGATCTAGTCTTCTCGATCCAGTTCGAAAGGATGAAAGTCCAAGTCAATTGTTGAATATTAAAGAAAATAATGAGTACCTAACATATGATTATATTCAATTTCAATGTACAACAAGGTTGGTGGAGGGATGGACTCAAAACAGCTAAACATAAGGCACTCCTTCAGGCTCCCAACCCATTGCAGCCTCTTCCAAGCGGAAGTTATTGCAATATGGGAAGCTCTGAACCGCCTTCAAGCAGTTACCTTCGTGGCAAATCGAAATAATATCTAAAGCGACAGCAGAGCTGCGATCAAATCGCTTATTGCGGCAGACTGCCGAAAATTTCTTTAAGAGAAGGCTCAGCAATTTTCTATCATCCTTCGTTGGGTTCCGGGTCACCAGCACATTGAAAGTAGGACATAGCAGACGTGCTGCCCAGATCTCCAAGACATAGAGGAGATTCGTATGTGCATGGCCATCTGTAGGTTTATCATAAAAGAGCGATAAGGCGACTCACAGAAAATATTTGGCAGCTTGCGCCACAATGTCGAATAAGTCGGCCAACATGTCGGCACCTCTGAGCTCTGCAAGATGGGCAGAAAAAGGTGCAGCAAGTCGCCCGTTCCCTCAAAGAACATTACGCAAATTGGCACCCACGCAAATAGGCTGGGAGCCCCATGTAATGATTTTGTCCGTAGCTGTAGAGACGAGGAAGAGGAGGAGACGGTGGAACAGCTGTTCTGCTCCTGTACAGCTCTCAGCACAAGGCTACAACACTTGGGGTTGCCCTTCATAACTTTCAGAAAAGTTTTACAAATGAATTGGCTAGGCACTTTTCGCAGAGCTTTGTCTGACAACGAATACTAGTTTCTAGTTTAGATATCCAGACCCAAAAGCAAAGCATCTTATTTATTGATAACCGTATTGTTTATTGAACCACGTCAAGGCACGTTTTCTTTTTGTTGCGGGAAAAATGTTTCTAAAAGAAAAACTTATGATTTGAGCTGCCAGCTTAAGTTCCTTGGTTCCTGGACCTTGAACGCTTTTTACACGACACTTAGCTCACATTATCTTTTGGTCTATAAGGTTTTCTGATATCGCATACGGGCATATCCCGATATATGTATCGCGATATGGCTCTAAAAGTATGTAGCGCTAAAGCCACTAAAGCTCTTACAAAAATCACGGAGTGTTACTAATTAATGTTATTTAACTTTCACAAAAAAAAAAACAAAAAAAAAAAAAACAAAGAGTCTGCTTAGTAATTCTTTTGGTTCTGTTATAGGCTGTTTTTTTTAAAGTGCAAAATGGTTTATAATTATGAGGCACAGACCTCTAAATAACCACCTACTTTTTAAACTGAATCAGATTTTGTATATATGTATATTGAATTCAATTTGAAACAGTGCCCTGGCAGCACAACAGCAGCGGACCATCTGCCTCAAAGTCATGGCGGGAAATGGTTTTATGCAAACATAGTATCACAGACTAGACTATTAACGACTCAGCCCTAACCCAAAACCAATATCACATTTTTTTTACATTATGCTTTTGACATGTTTAACCAGTTCGGCAGCGATTTGAATAATCGCAAAGAGCTTGCGAACTATAAAAGGGTTCGAGCAACCATCAGTTGGTACCATTCGTCGCAATCTGTTCGAGAACCGCAGACCAAAACCACCAACAACCAACAATCATCATGAAGTTCCTCATTGTCTTCGTTGCCCTCTTCGCCGTGGCCCTCGCCGCTCCATCCGGAGATGTGACCATCCTCCGCTCTGAGTCGGATGTTGGACCCGAAAACTTCAGCTATGCGTAAGTCCTTAATACAAATCAACATCAAGGATCAGCTCTAACTATGACTCAATTTGGATAGATTCGAGACCAGCGACGGAACTGCCGCCCAGGAATCGGGAGTCCTGAAGAACGCCGGCTCCGAGCAGGAGGCCATCGCAGTCCAGGGCTCCTACAAGTTCATTGGTGATGATGGCGTCACCTACGAGGTCACCTACATCGCTGATGAGAACGGTTTCCAGCCCTCGGGCGCTCATCTGCCCGTGGCCCCTGAGGCTTAAGTTGAGTTGCTTCCTTCGCAAGCAGCTTTAAAGCCATCCAAGTCCCTTGTTACCTTCCCCAAAAACTTCCTCAACCCCGATTTTCGAATCCTTATTTTAAAGGAAAGAAATCTAAGCAAAAGACCCACATTTTTTTTTTTGAATTTGTTGAATAATAAAGAAAACTGAGTACCTAAACTTAACAGAATGGTTATTTTTAATCAATTGGAAATCTAGAAAAGGAATAGATCTGTATAAAATATGGATCTGATATTTGATCAAAACTATTTATATTGCACTATGATAAATTGATGTTGAAGCTACTAAATAATAGTACGAGTGTCGTGGCGAAAGAAGTGAGTTTCAGAACGTCTGGGAACGGTCGGGTGATTGACTACTAATTGATTTTAATACTAAATAAAATACATGAACATCTATTCAGTCTTTCGATGATAATATGAGAAATGACAATGGCAGAAACACAATGCACGACGAGCAATAGCAAAAGCTAACATAAAAGACTGTCGACTAGAGAACACCCTTGTTTTTAAAGTTCTTAGTTACAATCTTCTATTGGATTCATGGATGGGATATTCTAAGTGTGGTATTTATTTAATAGAATATGTACACATTATACAGAGATGATGACATAGAATGCAGAGGCTTTTAAAGAGCATTTGTTACATATACTCTCCCTAGCCGATTGCACCCTGATGATGGGTATGCAATGTGTTAATCTGTAATTAAAATGTGTTTTATTGAATTTTTCATTATTCTTGATTCGCTTTCTTTTGTTTTTATTACTATTCGTACGAGTATTTTTGCATTTTTTGCCGATGAGGACATTATCTAGAAGTTCTGACGATCCGCCGCCGCCGTATAAAAGGGCCCGAGCAATCGATCAACAGCTCAGTAAAGTGCAGCTAAGTGTGAAGTGTGACTGAAAATGCTTTCCCATTCTACGTGTCTAATTTTATTGCTGACAGCAGGTGTCTGCCTGGCCCTCCCAGCCGGAGACGATGCCCAGGCGGAGACCCTGAAGCTGGAGAGCGAGAACAATGGCGTGGACAAGTATTCCTTCGCGTGGGTATAGCTACATGGGAGGTGTGTTTGAGTCAATCAGCTAATTGTGGACTTTCTTTAATGGACTTTAGCTACGAGACCAGCAATGGCATCTCACGGACTGAGGAGGGCGTTGTAAAGCCCGGCGCCACCGAGGATGATGGCGCGATCTCTGTGACGGGCACCACCAGCTGGTCGGCCCCTGATGGCAAGAAATACGAGATTAGCTTCACGGCCGACGAGACTGGCTATCATCCAAAGTTCCGACTGGTGGCCTAGGATTAGGACTTGCTGTAGCCATCGCTAGTTTAAGCTGAATAAAGCGAGCATTCCCAAAAACCCAAAAATAATTTTTTCCATCGGTTTTAGCTGTGAGAGTATCAAAGCTGAAACAACAGAATCCACACGTTTTAAAATATCTTTGGCTCTTCTCTGACGTCATTGGGACTACTTTGTGCGAAGCTTTGTTACAGATTTATTGAAAGTTAAAAAAAAATGCTAGGCAAATAAAAAAAGTGTTTGTAAATTTAAATAATGAAATATTTATGTGTTTCGATTCTTTTCAAGTTGACTTTTCAGCATAGCATATATTAAAACTTCGTATTAGGCTCTTAAACGACCAAACTCCAAGCAAAAATGAATACCCAAAACCAGACACATCACATTAACATTGACTTTGCCGATTATGTTTTGGACTCGGACATGTTTGACTAGTTCGACCGCCGCACTTTGAATAATCGCGAAGAGCTTGCGAACTATAAAAGGGTTCGAGCAGCCATCAGTTGGTACCATTCGTCGCAATCTGTTCGAGAACCGCAGACCAAAACCACCAACAACCAACAATCAACATGAAGTTCCTCATTGTCTTCGTTGCCCTCTTCGCCGTGGCCCTCGCCGCTCCATCCGGAGATGTGACCATCCTCCGCTCTGAGTCGGATGTTGGACCCGAAAACTTCAGCTATGCGTAAGTCCTTAATACAAATCAACATCAAGGATCAGCTCTAACTATGACTCAATTTGGATAGATTCGAGACCAGCGACGGAACTGCCGCCCAGGAATCGGGAGTCCTGAAGAACGCCGGCTCCGAGCAGGAGGCCATCGCAGTCCAGGGCTCCTACAAGTTCATTGGTGATGATGGCGTCACCTACGAGGTCACCTACATCGCTGATGAGAACGGTTTCCAGCCCTCGGGCGCTCATCTGCCCGTGGCCCCTGAGGCTTAAGTTGAGTTGCTTCCTTCGCAAGCAGCTTGAAAGCCATCGAGTCCCTTGTTACTTTCCCCAGACCGATTTCCCAAACCTTTTATTCAAAAGGAAAAGGATCTTAGTCAAAAGCCCTAGTTTGTTAAATATTAAAGAAAAATGAGTACATAAACAAATTTGTTTCGCAATTACACTTCCTCCAGAAACTATATAAAATAGTGTGGCACCACGGATGAAATATTACAGCTAGATAATGTCTATATGGGTTTGGCTTTTAAAGCTGATCTACTATATTGAAAGTTGAAATCTATACATATAACGAGGGGGAACGTTGTGATTCGCAGCTACGGTCGCGATACTCGAGACTTAGTCTGTATGGCTCCTCTCCACATTGCACAACGAAGAGTATTTCAGAGAGACACGGAAAATGAGTAAGCACGTGGACGGTTTTACGTAGCCACTGCAAATTTGTTTGTTTCTTCTGGCTATATTAATAATGCGATCTGATCTAGATATAGAATAAATATAATATAATAATATAGAATCTGTGGATGCCACAGATTTGCGTTCTTTATGGGGGCGGGGCAAAATTTTGAATTTTACAAGCGATCTTATAGATCTTATAGATCTCTGAGAACTTGGCGTCAAAAAAGGTGGAGGGACAGACGGACAGATAGACATGGCTGATACTTGATGCTGATCAAGAAGATACACTACTGGTCAATATAATAAGTACATATGTATCTTGCTAATTTTTTATGGAATAGCTCGAATTTTTTTGAATATATGAATGCCAATTGTTTATTTTTGGAAAGGTTACAGTCTTGTCAAATGTTTAAATAAAAAATTTAAGTGAGAAACAGTCTTTATTTAATTTCATGAATACATTTTGTATATACTATACGGGTTCGGAAACGCTTCCTTCTGGGCGTTACACACGTCCACTTTCCCACAAATTTAATATATCCAATTTTATATACAAAATATATATGTATACTCAAAATTAATATTTTCCGTGTATTCAGCTCTATTCGTAGATCAAATCTATTATATTTGGTACATGTTTGACTAGTTCCGCTGCTGCATATTAAATAATAGCGACATATTTGTCTCTATAAAAGAGTAGACCTAGCCATAGTTGAGTATCATTCGAGAACCGAAGACCAAACAGCAAACAACCAACAATCACCATGAAGTTCCTCATTGTCTTCGTTGCCCTCTTCGCCGTGGTTCTTGCCGCTCCTGCCGATGATGTGACTGTCCTCCGCCAGATTTCCGAAGTCGGACCCGAGAGCTTCAGCAATGTGTAAGTTATTCAAGTTCAGCATCAAGGATCGACTCTAATCTTTATCTATTTGGATAGCTACGAGACCAGTGATGGAACATCCGTCCAGTCCGAGGGACAGCTGAAGAACATTGGAGCCGAGAACGAAGGCATCGTCTCCAGAGGCTCGTACAAGTTTGTGGCCGATGATGGACAGACCTACACCGTCAACTGGGTCGCCGATGAGAACGGTTTCCAGCCCTCCGGCGCTCATCTGCCAGTTGCCAATTAAGTTAATCCACAGAAGTCAACTTTGATTCAGTCCCCTGTTAATATCCCCAAAAAATATCCCAAAAGCGATCTAGTCTTCTCGATCCAGTTCGAAAGGATGAAAGTCCAAGTCAATTGTTGAATATTAAAGAAAATAATGAGTACCTAACATATGATTATATTCAATTTCAATGTACAACAAGGTTGGTGGAGGGATCGACTCAAAACAGCTAAACATAAGGCACTCCTTCAGGCTCCCAACCCATTGCAGCCTCTTCCAAGCGGAAGTTATTGCAATATGGGAAGCTCTGAACCGCCTTCAAGCAGTTACCTTCGTGGCAAATCGAAATAACATCTAAAGCGACAGCCAAACTATTGATGCTGATTGATGCTGATCAAGAAGATATACTATACGGGGTCGGAAACGCTTCCTTCTGGGGGTTACGCACGTCCACTTTCCCGACAAATTTAATATACCATTTTGAGTATCTTGTTTGTAGCTCACATAAAAACACGAAAAGCCCCGCACCGATTGATCTGAAATTTCAGTCTCAGAAAAGCCGCGGCAAGGGCAGTTGCTCCACGTTTATACCCGGTACTCAGTCAGTATAAATATATGTAATCTTATCTTACGTAATCGCCGGAATTGGTATCAGAGCCGATGTATTGCGATGTCTGCCGCAATCTGTCTCTCTCTGTTTGATTTTTGCTATCGCTGGGGGCTCTCTCTTTGAATTTAGCTGGCACTTGTCATGAGAGATGCCCAAAGAATACAGAGAAAGAGAGGAGCCACGACCGCTAAATAAGCTCTAATGCTAATGAATTATGAGTGCTAATGAATTGTTTTATTCCAATTTTATAATATTCCATCTGTTTTCATTTTTTCTCTACTGTTTTTTATTCCTCTACAACTGTCTCTCTCTCGCACTTCTCACAATAACAGCTATCTCACTCCCTTCCGACAGAGGCACACACATCATGATTAAGAGTGAGAGAGAGATAGAAGGAAAGAGGGAGAATGAGTAGTCGCGTGGAAGGAGTAGTGTAGCCGCTCTAAATCGTTTTGTTCATTTTGGCTATAATAATGAACTGATCCAGATCCAATCTGCTAGATATGGCCATTCTTTTTGATTCCGCGTTTGGGCTTTTCTCGTCTTCAGAAATGTATGTGTACAGATATGAACAGCCACAGATTTTCGCCTTTTGTGGGCCTGCGTGGCCAAATTTTTAAACAAACTTGAATCAGTGTGAGTTGGTTTGGAAATTTGTTTCTCCACACGGACAGACTAAGCATCCGGGGTAATGCATCTAGAGGTGTATTGGGAGACGGATATGGTCGGAATTCGGTTTTGGCGAGAACGGGAGAAGATCAACTGAAGATTTTAAATATTGTATACCTACAAGTATTAGATCCTCATTTCTTATCAGTGCAGCCACAATATGCGCCACAGCGAAACGTGACTGGGTACAGTTAGTATACTATAAACACACATACATACATAAATCAAAATAGCAAATAGCGAACCTCAAGGACCCAAAAAGAAGATCGTTTTACGGAAAATTCGTAATATAAAAACCGTAAAAAAAATTTGTTTGCCTTAAAATAAAATATTATATATTATATCTCAATATTATATTACAAACTATGTAATATTTTATCAGGGCCTTTTTATGCGCTTCACAAAGGTCGCAGCTAAGCAAGCATTATTTCCCATTATTCATGAATTTTTGTGTGGCACTGAGTGTGTTTGAGTAATCAATCGCACTCTCTTTCTCCCTTTCTCTCTCCCACACCCACGCCCTCTCTTCCACACACATGCTCTCTCTCACACACACTCTCAAATGAGTTTTCTCTCTCTCTCTCTCTCTTTCTTTCTCTTCCCCACGTACTATCTCTTCACTCACTGACTTACTCTGTTTCCCTTCTTCAAAAAGCGTTGCCTACTTCCAGGCTGTGTCACTAATATGATGTGCCAATCGAATGACTTAGGAAACAAACTTTATTTTTTGTATGGCATACTTTTGGGCGTACGGCTAGCGACACTAATTGACTCGTGCCAGCTCGTGCCTTATGCAAATTATTTATTTATGCTCTCACTCTGAAAAGCAACAGTTATTGCAATTAATATGCAAATTTGTGCACACATCATCAGTCATTGCCAAACTTGATAGCAATATTTCAATTACAATTGGCTGCCAGCATCCGGCAGAGGACACGCTGGCCGCTGATTGCGATCGCGGGTCGATAATATGCACCCTGAAGTGCAAACACCTTCCTCATTGCATTCTGATTTGCTCATCCATCAGATTGCGTGGCTGCCCATTGATTGACTCCAACAGGTTAGCCGACAAGTGGCCGAGAGTCGTTTAATTAACAGCAAATAGTCAATCGATTTGATTGCTGTGCCTGGACCCACAATCTACAACCTACAATCGTTCCGTTTTGTAGGTGTCAAGCAATAAATATTTTATCAGCCATTTTATAAAATGGCACATGCAGAATGGGAAATTAGCCAAAAATGTCTCGAAAGAACCACATATCGGTCGATGATTGACGATACCTCAAAACCCAGAGGCGTAGTTCAAGTGCAGAGGGGAGAACAAGTGAAAAATCTGTTAATACAGAAACGCAGTAGCATTATCCATTTGTTCTGGGAATCGAAGAATCAGTCGAACAAACAGAGCACTAAATAAATATACATATGTATACATTTATGTATGTATGTATGTATATATGAATCTTAAGAAGCTCAACACCCTCTACTACGACTACGCGCATGATTAGATCAAACGGAACAGAATATTAGTGACTATTGAATGCCTTTCATTTGATGTTTACTCGTAAGAGTACATACATATAATGAGCCAAAACTCATCGCGAGAACTAAGGAAGTTGATATATAAATTTGTCTCTAACTAATTTGTAAACTATTTCATTGCCTTTGCTTGGGGTCCCGTCCCCGTTGATGCAAATAATATTCTTGAAATACATGACAAATGATTTAAATAAACGCATAAATAATCATGCAGTGTGCATGATATTATATACGAGTATAAGCACAGGCTTGGATGATGTTTTGAGAGGCTTGATGCGGTTGTTGCTGTTGCTGTTGCTGTTCTCGTCTTTGCTACCAGATTGGTATGGCAGACGCAGACGCAGACGCACACTTACATATACACATACAGAGCCAGCTGAGCGAGACAACAGGCAGGGGCAGTGGCAGACGAGCGTCTACGTCCGCTTCTAATGTTTTATAATGTTTAACTAATATTATCAACATTGTCAATTCGCTGCCGAACATCGTGGGGTGTGTTCCATTCTGTGACGCTTGCTCCGAAACGAAAAATCTCGTGAGAAACGCGTCGTTATCCGTTTGAAATTCAAATATTTATACTCATATATAATTGCCCAATTATTTATTTTTTTTTTTCGCTTGATCAAAAGAAGTCGATAATTGTATACTAAAGAGGCGTGAAAATAAAATAAGTTTGTGTCTAATTTAAATATAAATACAAATCGAAATCGACCATCAACCATCGACCATCGAAATGAATCTTAAATCAGTGACCATCGTTTGTGCTGTAAGTGAAAGTGATACGAGTTTTTTTTTTTTTTTAATTATTTAAACGCATCCATTTCAAGCTTCTGCTGGCGCTGTGTCTGAGCCATGTCCTGGCCGCCGTGACCACCGTGCGTCCTTACAAGTTTGGCTTCACCATCGACGAGCAGCAGCATCGGGCAGAGCAGAGAGGTGAGTGACAGACAGCTGGGCTAATGACGCTAATTAAACCATTAGCATATCTTGACTACTGTGCGTTCACTTATTGACACCAAAACCGAAATATGTAAATAGAGATGCGTCATCGTCGTCCCAGTGGTCGTTAGAGGCAGCTGGTGGCAGATGCAGGAATGCAGCCAGTCTCTGCAAGTGCAACAGCATTAGCCAAAAAAAGGCAATAACTTTTGACTTTTGTACCGAGTGGTTTGTGCAATGCCACACAATACACGTTTCGTTTGCTGCCTCAGCTGCTGCTGCAGGGGCGCTGCACCTAAGCGACAGGTCACCAGCAATTGAAATACTCGCGACAGTCAACAGTCAACAGTCATCGTCACCGTCAGCACTGGACGGTCTCGTCCCGGGGACGGTCAGCAATTAGCGGATTTCTGGCAGAAGACCATTCCATTGTCTATATGGCATGGTCGTTATGATTTTTATTTCTATGCTGAATCGGTAATAAAGTTTTCAGAAAAACGAAAACAAAACTTGAACCATTTGCATAACATGTAGCCGTGTCACAGAAGCGTTGCCTTATTTATGGTTTTTCTTTCTTTAGTTAATGCTAATTCACAAAATAAAAAAACGACCGAATTTCAATATTTATAAGTATAATTCTGGCATATAAAATGCCAGAGTTGAGTCCACAATTCGAATTTCGTTCAAATTTCATCGATTATCGACTTGGATAACTTGTTGTGAATGTTTGCTTGTGTGGGAGATGTGTTTGTTAGAAGTTGTTCCATAACAAACCTCTTTTATCAAACATCAAAAATGATATCATTTATTTTCTATTACACCGTTTTTCGAGCATACTTTAAGGCGTGAGCCCCTCTGAATAAATCTGAATATTAAGTTAAATTCGATATCAGTATGCAGATGACACTTATTTTTATTGTTGAAATAAAAACTTTGTTCATTTATATTGATTTGAATTTAATAGTTTCCATTATTCGGCTAAATTCAATGAGCAATTCGAACGGCAATCTATTAGAACAAAAGAATAATTTTTTTTCCATCTAACTGAAATCGATCGTGACAAATGCGAAAGTGACACGATGCCATATCCGAAATATAAAACAAACAAGCGAAAGCCAATTGATTAAAGCCGTTCAAACGTGTTAGCAAGTACGGGTTAAAGCCAGAACCAGAGCCAAAGCCAAAGCCAAAGCCAAAGCCAAATCCGAAACCAGTTTAAGCCCCAAAGGCCACAGAGGCCAAAAACTCGGAATCGTAAACCAATCGAGTGGGTGGCTAGCCAGGATGCATGATTTTCAGTCACACCTCTTTTGGAGAAGATGTACTACATATGTATGTATGTAGTATAATCGAGCCACGCTAAAAATCTTGAAGAATGCTGCTCAGCATAAGATCTATTCATGCGTAGGCAGGGTCCGAAGGGTTAGGGGAGACGAGTCGCCGGATTTAAAACCAGCTCACAAATTATGAGCGTCATTATCGATACAGTTTATTAGATCTTAATCTTTATGGGCCTGTCGGGGCAGGTTGGTTATGAGAAGAATTCAAAGACACGGATCGCCGCCAAATTCGCTTTCATATTCGAATCGAACATAAAAGAATGTATATGAATCTCAGCTAATCTCGTTTCCCGATTCGCAGATGAACGAGGCATTGTCATGGGCGAGTTTGGGTTCATCACCGCCGATGGTATTTATCATGTGACGGTCTATGCCACCGACGAAGAGGGCAAGTTTCACATCTTGTCGATGAAGAGTTATCCCTATGCAGGACCCATCGCACCCAGTGAGTATCCACATTTGACCTAAACGGATATCTGCCGCCTACATTGCCACATCTCTTTCCAGAGACCGTAGCTGCCACCGCCACCAGCACACCAAGAGCCCCGCAGCCGTCAGCTTTGCCCAAGTACAACTTCAACACGGAGGCCTGCTCGGGGTGCTTCCTGAAGAAGTCGCCAGCGTCGGGCAGTCCCAAAACTGAGATTCGCACGCTCTCACAGCCGCTGGCACCGTCTTCGTCCGCCTTTCCGCTGGCTTCCGGACCCGAAGGTAAGCTAACGCCCAGTCGGCTGCAAACGGGCTCGCAGGACTATGGACTCAATGTCCAGCTGCCCTTCCGACAGTCCATTGCCCAAACCATTGAGGTGGCATCGCGACAGGGTCAGAGCCACACTCACAGTCCAGCACCAACACAGCACAACACGAACACAAACACAAACACGAATAGCAACACCAATTCCTACACTAACACATACACCAGCACCTATGCACCCACAACGAATCCAGGGCCACTCAAAAAGCGGATAGAAGTTGGTCTCGACTTGGCCATGACCACATACACCACATCCAAGGCCGCCGTCACGGGTCACGTGATCAGTCAGATGCAGAATTCGAAAACTCCCAGCAGCAACACAAAAGTAGACTACGATGTGGGCATCTTCAGAACGGGTGAAAAGGTTTCATCGTCACCATCGAATGCCTTCAACTATGCCACGACAGCAGCGGCAACCTTTGCCCCGTTGAACATCAAACTGGATGCGGATGTTGTGAGGCAGGCGAGTGCATTCGTTGCCGGCATTAAGGCTCCCCTGTCCTTGGCTGATCAGACAATTGTCCCGCCAGCCCCAATACCCGCAAATCAGGTGAAAATCTTTGCCGCTGCTCCAACCAGCGAGAAGAGTTCCCCATTCACTTCCGCTGTTAGCCACTCGAATGTGCCGCTGGCCAGTAATGTTGTGCACCAGACGCATCCGGCCGCGTTCCCCAGCCCTGCTGCGGCTCATCCTGCTGGTGGACAGAGATTCGGGTTGGGAGCACAACCCTCAGCACTATTCGCACATTCCGCACCGACACAGACCACACAACAACAACTGCACACAGGAACAACATACACACTGGGCCCACACCAGAGATATCCCTTAAGTAAGCCAAAGCAATGGGAATTACTATTACGACAGTCTGAACCCCCACGATCCTGGGAAAGTGGGTCCTGCACCGATCTGGCCCCATATATCTGAGATATAGCCTTTCGAAGATGTGGATGTGCAAATCATTCGAATATTTGTTTTTTCTGTGCGCTATATCTCAGCTATACGGCAGCCGATCTGGGCGCGGCACGCCTCTCCGTGATCGAGAGAGTCCTGCCAATCGACTGCCATCGGAAAAAAAGACATCCATTTTCTCACGATTTTCGCAAAAAATCATGATGGTTACATCATTAAATTTTCAGAAAATCGGCCTCATATTAGAAGTCGAGATTTTGGTGCCGAACGACAGTCTGGATCCCCACGATCCTGGGAAAGTGGGTCCTGCTCCGATCTGGCGCCATATATCTGAGATATAGCCTTCCGCCGAATGGTTGGATGTGCAAATCATTCGAATATTTGTTTTTTCTGCACGCTATATCTCAGCCATACGGCAGCCGATCGGAGCGTGGCATGGCTCTGCGTGATCGGGAGAGTCCTGCCGACCGATTGGCACCAGAAAAAAGGACATCCTTTTCATCACGATTTTCGCAAAAAATCATGATGGTTACATCATTAAATTTGCAAAAAACCGGCCTCATATTAGAAGTCGAGATTTTGGTGCCGAACGACAGTCTGGATCCCCACCATCCTGGGAAAGTGGGTCTGCACCGATTTGGCGCCGTATATCTGATGATTTCTGATGTATGTGTAGAGTAGAGTGAGGGGGAAATTTTGTTCAAAGACCTCATTGCACAGTGGCGCTAAAGTAACGTTTATTTTATTGCGATTATTTTTGGAACCAAGCAACTACGTTACATGCATTTTACATGGAGGTTTGTATCCTTACTAAAAATTTCCCATTTATCAGATATACCAACGCAGACCGGACTTTCTGGAGCAGGCGCTGTTCGACCAACCGGAAATGCTTTCCGTAAGTCCATGAGGGTGAAAGGAGACAAAATCCTTTAAAGACAATGTATATTTTCTCTTAAAATCCGTAGCAACGAAGATTGGTGGAAACCCTGCCGTTGAAGGCGGAAGCTCTGCTGGAAGCCTTCCTCAAGGAAATGCAGGTAATAGAGGCGTATCTGGTTCACGACTGGGTGGCGCATCAGGTGCCGCATTCCCTCAGGGAAATGCAGGAAATGGAGGTGTATCTGGTACACCACAGAGTGCAGCATCAGGTGGAAGCTTCCCGAGTGGATCTCCGTCATTTGGAGGAGTATCTGGAGGCGCTGTGACGACTGCAAGTCGCCCAGCTGGATCAGCAGCTGGCGGTGCAGTAACAGGTGGAAGCTTACCAGGAGGATCCTTTCCACATGGGGGTTCTTCAAGTGGTAGTGGGGCTGCAGGAGCAGTATACCGTGGAAGCGGACCAGGTGGAAGCGGTTCTGCTGCCAGTGCATCGGGTGAAGTGGGAGATCTGTACAAATTCAAGTACATTCTGGACTACAACGGGCACGAGGAAAAGGGCAGTCGGAATGGCGACAAAGAGGGAAATTACTTTGCCATCGGCGAGGATGCCGTGCGACGGACCGTCGAGTACATAGCGAACGAGTTTGGCTTCCAGCCGCACATCAGTTGGCAGAAACTGGATGACAAGAACGTGCTGCCAGAGGGCAACAGCCTGAAGCACTACGAGTTCAAGTGGTTCAAGGAAGCGCAGTGAACTTCCCAGTGATACCAGCAATTAGTCCGATTTCGAGTGTAGATTCTTGTCCCACTTGCTGTAAATAACAATTTGATCATTTGTCGAATATACACAGAGATTAACAAATAAGAACGGATACCGTTTTGAATTGGGTTTTATTTTGGTTGAAAGTTTTTGCCTTAAGTTAACTAAATTCTTAGAGGGTTTCGGTGTGTGGGCGTTGCTGATGTTTTTTAATTCTTGAGGGGATTACATTCAGAATTTAAAAATTGTATACATCTAGATCGATGGCGTTAAGATCGCCTTGTGGTATTTCTTGTATGGATTTGCTGCATTTGCATTGGCATTTGCATTTGAATTTAGTAATTCACACACATTGAAATGGTTACACACATACATATTTCATATTTGTAGGTAATGTTATAGTTAAACGTGGACTTAGGGTTTAAAAAGATTTATTTTTTTACACACAAATATACTATATACTTATATATACTGTATGTATATGCGTATAGTATGTGTAGATTTTCGATTAATAGTATGTTATTTATTTAAATATTCGGTTCGTATATTATTTGGTATTCAAAAAAAATTATGTAAGAGTTTAACTGTACAATCAACTATCACAGTCAACCATCTCGAAAGGATAAGCGATAAGGAAAAACCTAAGGATGTCTCTTATACGACACTTCGTATGCCCCCCAAAGCAGGGGTGTGGGCACCGAAACTGAATGCATGAACCATTTGAAACACACATAGAAACTACTTTTTATTGCTAAACATTATTACACTTAGTATGTAGATTTTGCATAAAAAAAAAAAAAAAATGTTTTGCATATGGCAAATATTTATGTATATATATATTTATTTACATATCGTAAATTGAAGCGAATATGTGGGAAACTTCTATAACTAGACATTCACTGTGGGTTTGTGGGCCTGTGGGCTTGTTTTGGTGCTACATTCTACGAGTAGTTCTGAATCTGCTCTGGTTTCTGGATCGTAGTCCTCTAATCGTATTTCTATTTACACTTCTTCACAGAGAAAATGCTAACAACAATTGAGAACAATATAGAATTATTCAAGTGGAAACTTGAGGATTCTATTGTAGGAGATAGAGTTTTCCAATAACTTTTTTGCTTGGCTTTCTTTTTCGTTTGGTTGTTTATTCTGTTACACTAAAAACACTAAAAACACTGAGAAGTTTGGGTTTTGTTTTACGCTTTGCAGACTGCAGGTTTTGTTTGATAACTACGGGTTACGTTACTCCTAATTCTTATCGTGTCTCCATCGTACGTACGTATACGAGGATTGGTATTGGAGCAGCAACTACGAAAAAAAAACATCTATTCTAATCACTCACTCTCATGCACTCACACACCACACCACACTCTTCGAATTTTTTGTCTCATTCGCGCACACATAAAATACTCTGTTTGGGGTCTTATTTTTGGGGGTTGGTTTTGCTGGTTGGTTCCATTCGCTAAAGTTCTAAGAATAAAATCCGCTCAAATATTCGAGTTTCTTGCGTTTCGTTTGGATTCATTTTCTGGTGGTTCTGGTTACAAGTTCTGGTTGCATTTACAGTAAAAATGTGGCCTGCTCGCCGCTCTTCATGTCCAGATAATCGTAGAGGGCCCGCTCGTTGGCGCCATAATTCCCAGGATGGGCAGGATGTCCGTGATGAGCCGGATGACCGGGATACGGCGGCATGTTGTCCAGACTGACGGCAGTGCCTGCGGCGGGAGTGGCCGCCGGCGGCGATGGTCCTGCGCCCATCGTCAGCCCGAACTTCTCCAGGTGACATCATTTGAGCAGCGTCGGCAGGCTGCTGTTCATCAGGCGGTTGCCCACGACCAGGGAATTGAGCGTCGAGCTGCCGCCACCCACCCCGACGCCCACGCCCACACCCATGCCGGCCACGCTGAGACCCCCGATGGCCCCGAACCCGGCACTGGTATGGGCCGGGGCCGCCGTCAAGGTGGCCGTGGCTATATTCAGATTATTGCTTACACTGGTCGCACCCCCGGCTCCACCGCTGCTGGAGACATGCGAGGAGCCATTGAGGTTGCTGTTGCTGCCGGCGCTGCCGAAGCCACTCATCAAACTGCTCACGCCACCGCCCCCGTTGCCACTGCTGGTGCTGCTGGATGTGGAGCCCAAGCCGCCTGTCGCCGTCCCCGATCCGACTATGCCGCCGACGCCTGTTGCTGCAGTGCCGCCGCCAATGCCTGTGGCACTGGCGATGGCGTTGCTCTCATATTAGAAGGCGCCACCGGACGATGATGGTCATGCGTAGTGGGGATAGCTGCTCAGATGCGGCGCCACATGAGAAGGCGTCACATGGCTCATCGAGTGCGGCTGATATAGATTCGTGGCCGGACTGCCCCAGTTGCCCCACGAGGCAGCCGACGGGAAGATGGAAGCTATGCAGAAAAAGAAACAAAATGTAAGTTGAATTGGGATACGGCTTGGGATTTGAGAATCCCCTTCGAGTATAGAGATGCTTACCCGATGACGAGGTCATGCCATGGTGGGGACTCATGAACGAGCTGAGCTTGGCGCTGTGATGATATGGTGTCATGAACAAGTCGCTCTGATACTTGTAGGTGGGATCGCTGGCCGCAGGCTGTGTGGCAGCTGCCAGGCCTTGGAAATCGAATTTGTACGCATACCGCTTGCCGTGCACCTTGGTCATGATGTTCTTGTCGTAATAATATCTGCAAAGATGGAGGAATGGGGGATGAATCTATGTTAGTATTTGCCAGGCAACCCTCCGAGTCAGCAGCTGATCGGAATGTGGGAAAAACAAACAAAAGCCAAGTCCATGGACATGGTCATGGTCGCCCCCCACAGATGGACAATAAATAATTACAAAATAATGCTCGCTTTATGCGTTTTAAGTTAATTTGCTGACATTAAGCGATTTTAGTGCCGCTCCCCAGACACTCTATCTATCTCTATCTCTATCTCTCCCTCTATCTCTCTCGGCAATTAAATGGCAACGCCTTGTGCACAAGCTCAAATAGAAATTTCTGCTTTCTGACGGGGGGAATACGAGAACATACATATATTGTGTGGGCGTCCAAGAAATAGCAACGAAATTTGTTTGCATTCGAGGGGTTGGCTGTGATTTCTTTTCATTAAGTTGGCAATCCATTATAAACCATGGCTGATGGCAAGGTTTCAGGCACATTAAAGCTCATTTGAAAGGACATTTCGCACATCCTTTTGTTCGTTTGCTGCTGCGCTTTAAAATGTCCGCAACTTCCGCTGCAGCGAAGAGGAAAAAAAGATCAGGCAAATAAATTACAAAGGAGCGCAGTGGCAAACATTTCAATGCATCAATGCAAATTGGCATAATGCGTGCAGTTCTGTTCGTTCGCTTTTTGTCTCTGTCTCTGCTCTGGGCATAAATTATGCCAATTACGTCCATAAATTAAAACCATTAAAAACAAAAGCTGGGCGAAAAATGCAGGAAAAAATCGAGAAAGGAGAGAAAATGCCACTGCGACGGCGACTGCTCTTTGCACAAACAATCAAAGCCAATCAATAGACTGATGACAGGGACAAAGGCGCACAATCAAGGAGGAGGGAGAGAGAGGGAGAGCAGTAGCAGTGGCAGAGGCAGAGGCAGAGACAGAGATAAAGGACAAGTAAAGGAAGAAAAAGGATTAAAGTAAACCCATTTCGAGGATTGGCCACACAAAAGGGCAGCTGGCTGTGAATAAACATGTCAAATGAAGCATTAAAGCACTTGTCCTTGTTGTCTAGCTCTTTCTCAGTGTGTGTGTGTGTGTGTGGGTGTTAATTTACACACCCATCCATCCACATATGTACATGTGTACACTCACAGCCTTGCATCCACCCACACCCACACACACACACACACTCACACGCACACGTAGCAAACTTTGCTGCGCTCGCATTTCTGTGTAAACATGAAAGCCAACGATGATGATGTCTCTCGCTCGTGTTCAATTGTTCAATTGAGTTGAAATGTGCAAAAGGAACAGACATGTTGAGGCTTCCTGCACATCACATCAAAAAGGATTCTCTGGCAAGGATTTCTCGCCTTTTTACATCTTTATTTACATGTGTGTGGGAGAGCGTGTTGCAAATTGGCTGCCAGGATTTTTCCACTCGAATTCGCATCATTGGCCCTCGTTGGCCGTTTGATTGCAAGTGACAGTTTCAAGGAGCTGGCCTAAAAGGGTTCGCCTCTCCCCGGTGTCCTCGCTGTCCTGCCCAGGGATTAGGCCAACTATACTTTTACTCTTGGGGCCGTGTTTGCTCAACAAATTGACCGTTGCACAAATAGTAGTTGGTGCATATGCTGCTGTCATCTGTTCGTAACAGAATTTAGGAAAGAAAATAAAAAAAACTGAACGTAGAAATAGGGAATGCGAAATCGAATTAGAGGGTTCGGCAATTGGATTTTCATTTTATTGGATTTTTGATTACATTCCCGAGCAATTTATGATTGAATCTCTGCCTAGGACCAAGGCACGCCCACACAATCAAGTGGGCTAAACGATGGTCAGCTTTTCGATTGCGCCATGCTTTCTTTATTTACTTATTGTACGAGTATATATGGTTGGTTTTTTGGTTATTTTTCTGGATATTTTGTCATCAAAGAGGCTAATCATTGACGGGACAAATCATTTACTGATGAGCCGAGCAGCAAATTGCACACATGCTCGCATTTTGATGATGCGAATGCCACAGATATCGACTAATTAGGGAGCACTTGAGTGCACAGGGGCAGAAACCACCCCGAAATAGCACAGATACAGATACGAGTATAGTATAGATACAATTACATATATGAATGTATGTGTGTAGGATATAGCTCACCTCAAGGCGCGACTCAGTTTGTCGTAGTTCATGTTCGGCTTGGACTTGCGCTCGCCCCAGCGACGGGCCACCTCATCGGGATCTGTGAGCTTGAACTCCCCGTTGGTGCCCTCCCAGGTGATGCAGCTGGCGTTGTTCGAGTCCGACAGCAGTTCGAGCAGGAATTGCCATAATTGTATCTGTCCGGAGCCTGAAAGATTGGAGAGTGAGAAGTGAGTTATAGCACAATATTATATACACATATACATATATATACGGTATAGAGACATTTAATGTCGGTCTCTGTGAGCCTGGCTAAATGTCCATCAAAAGAGCATATCCTTTTGGCGTTTCGGGCTTAAATTAACTACTGCTGCGGCGGCTAGCAGGGGATGTGGCCAAAATGTAAGCATTTTGTGGCATGCAAAAGCCCCATAAAGCATTTCCTGTACGGATTGCTTGCCCCAAAGAAGCCCCCCGCTGTAGGATCCCCTCTTGGCAATTCGATAAATAACTGTGACTCCATTCCATGCTGGTCTCTGCTCTTGGCGGGGGCAATCTATGACGGCTGCCTCAAATTGTTGCAGGAGAAGTGTAGCGCAACGGAAATGGCATTGCATGTAAGTGTAATGGAAGTTGGGAATGCTTCTCCCCCGTCTCCCCCCTCTCACTCTAGGGGCATAAAAATAGATGTTCTGTCTTGCACTTTCACTGGAAATTTGTCAGAGTCAAGCATACATATAATTTCAGCTGATCTATGACTGAGAAAGCCACCCACTACAGCTCTCTCCAACAGAGAGTACCACTAGAGAGGTATTCCTCCTTCACGAACCCTGGATATGGAGAAGGAATAACGGAATAAAGGAATAAACTGTATAAATAAACTCCAACTTTTTTGGTTATTGCGTCACTGAATATTAGCCCAGCAATATGTATTCGCCCCCCACTTCATGAACCATAGTTCCCCATTTGCCCTCTGACTTTTGGGCTTTCTCATCCCACGCCCAAGCCACGAAAATCAAAAATTCCTACTCCAATCCGCCTTTGAACTTTGGCATTGTGCGTGCTAAAACATTTACAGAATTATGATTGTGTATTGTGAGCGGGATTCGCTACGCATTCGACGCAGACATCATAAATCGCTTAATCATTTGGCAATTAGGCCGTGGAAGAAGCCCAGGCCCAGCCACGACAACGGGCCACCAAATGTAGTCTCTCTCCTTTCTCTTCTCTGTTTGCTGTCAGACAAAAGGCTCGGGCACAAAAAAAGGACACCACACCGCACTCCGTGCACCGGAGAAGGACGAGCCAGTGGGGGGTGGCTTGGAAAACTTGAGGCAGCTGTGGGGCGGTGGGTGTGGGAAATGTGCGACTTTGGTGGTGGCTTAGCGCTGCTCATGTGTGAGAACGTCATGAATATTGCGTTAATTGCAAATCATGGCCAAGTGAATGTGTTAAGTGCCAACACGGCGATTTACCAACGATGACGATGATGAATGATAATTGTCCTTGGGCTGGGCAGAAGACACACACACACACAGAAAGAGATAGAGCGAGGGCGTGGCTAGACAGAAGAAACGCCGAAAAAGTTGGGGCTGGGCAGGCAATTGACACGCTATTAACTTTAAATACATGAACAAAAGCCCATTCAGAAGTCATTTCATGATCGATATACATATGTACATACACCAGGGTAGCCCGCAATATCTCTCGCACTTTTTTAAAGCGATCCTGTACAAAATCCAAAGTCCTCAGACTTGCAGACTTAATGAACTCGTATTCTTACGTTTATTGTGAAATGAATTCACTTAGTTATTACTTCGACAAGTTTATATTGAAAGCTTTCAAGTAGTGGAAGAAAACTAGCCTTGGTTTTGAAATTTGCATTTTCAAGGAACAAAAATATCGGAAATTTATATTCATTCAAAAATGTAAGGGCTAATCGTAGGATTGTACTATGCACTGAAGCTCGGTTCAAGGTAATTGGAACAGTTAAAAAATCCCACATAGGAGGGCAAAAATGCAACTTTAAGAGTTAAGGAAAGAATTGGCAGAGAATGGTTAGGTGTGTGAGCTATAGCGGGCTACCTTTAAGTTTTAAGATTTGTATCTCCAATATATATCCTATAAAAGGGAACCTGGACGATGAGAAAACCATTTAATTTTACTGCATTTTTTTAATACATTTTATGTGCGGCTGCTTTAACTTTGATAGTCAGTATCGAATCGTCTATTGATACAGCTTAGTGATCAGGAATGATGATCCCTGTGCAAAAATGTACCAGAGGCCAAGAAAAAGCCACACCTCGTCGATTGCTTGCTCAGGAGTATCCCCAAGGAGTTAACTAATTTCACTTGAAAGGCGTTAAGGTTAAACCTTTGACTACAAAAAAATATGTTAATTTAATAAATCCCAACGAAAAAAATTACTAAAACCGGAAGTAATTAGCGCGGCCAGGGCTTTGATGTGAGGCTGCTGGAAGTCCTTATTTTTACATAATTAAGGACATTTTTTTAGTTTCTTGTCTTGGCTCATTTAATTATGCAGCGACTCTTGGTTCGTTTTTTTTGTTTTATCAGTTTTGTGGTTGCATGCAACTTGCAGCTGGAAAGGCACACACACACACATGCAAATAAGTGTGGCATGTCAAGTGTTTGACCAGCTTGCAGCGGCGGTGACCGGACTTGGCTAACAAAGCGGTTCCGTGTCGAGAGGAAGCCATAATTAATCAAAAACAGCATTTTTGCCACCCAAAAAGCGAAAGCGCAATGCATGTGTGTGTATGTGTTAGCTTCTATCCTTTTTCCCTCTCTCTCTGTGTGTGTGTGTGTGTGTTTGTATCTCAGTGAGCTTTTGCGTTCAACTTCAAGTTGAAGTTTAGAGCCAACTCTTGGCAACGGGCTAAACCGCACAACAAACAGTCGAAAGAGACGTCTAAAGAAGACCAAAGCCAGAGAGAAAGAGCGCTAGAGGCAGAGGTACAGACACAGGCATAGGCACAGGCACAGGCAAAGGCAGAGCCCGATTCGTGTAAATGTCGCGCCGGAAAATGTTGGGCGTCTGGGTTTTTATGCTAATTCCGTTGAAGCGCCATGTTTCGATGGTGCCATGGGGCGGGGCGGGGATGGCATGGGGCCGTGGCAGGCTGGGGGTTGCGGTGGGTGGAGCTCATGCAACAATAATGGCGGCGTCAAAAGCTTGCCCCAGCGCAGGATCAATAGGAGTTATTGATTTTACCCCCAACGCTGGTCAGAGAGACTATGAAAAACCTCTGCAATTGACTTTCATTTGTGCGGAAAATTCAGCTAAAATGTGCACAGAATTTAATAAAATTCAATAATAATTTGGATTTATTTTGGGATAGTGTTCTAGAAGCATTTACTCGATGTCATGCTCACTAAACTCTCAGGCTCCAGGGATTATATATATGATACTTTGGGTAATACGAGTTTTCTCCCTCTCTTCTTCACAGAGACTTCGTTAAACAGGATCCAATAAAAGTTTCGGCTATATGTACATAGTTCTTTAATTTTCAATCTCACGGTCATTAATCTCTGAGGCTGTGAGAAAAAGGCTTACACATCCATTGACCGATTTATCAAATTTTATATTAAGAACACGCCCACTTTTGAATACCCCTTTGACTTCGCTTGCATCACTTTTTAATGGATTTTCATGGCGTTTAACAGCAGGGCGCGTGCCCAGAGTTCAGACACTTTCCAATTCCCAAGGAATGAATGAAACAAAAGGCCAAAAGCTGAAAAAAACAATTGCCGAGACACGCCCATACAGACACGGACACAGCCATACACACATACACACACACACACAATCTCTCCTCTGGCACACACTGATGTAATAAATTTACGAAAACACCTTTCGCATAAATTAGAAAACTGCACCCCAAAAGTCAGAGCAGCGAAGGGTTAAGCTCGCATGCAATGGGTTAATTTGTTAGGGTCGCCGTCCGGGCAATGACTAAGTCGAGTCGAATCTCAGCCAGAAATTGATATGATAATGAAATGCAGCCAGAGTCCGTAAGTGTTTTGGGGTTCCACTTCCACACCAAAAGAGATTGGGGAGAGTCCTAGGCCAGGCCATGCCAGGCCAGGCCAGGCCAGAGGACCGAACCCGAACTAGAGAGCCCGAGCCCATGGCTTAGTCACGTGGCCCACGCAATTGGAAAACTAATCGCAGCACCTGCATCTTTATGCTTTTCTGATTGTTCCACTCACCTGAGCTGGCCAGCCTGCTGCTGGTGGGTCCGAACATTTGATATGGATCTGTGGGAGAGGGTTGCAACAGAAAGCGTGGCATTAGTCGAAGTCTTTTATGCAAATATTTTTTAATGAAGGGTGCCGCCTTGAAAACGGCATCGTAAACGGGAAACATTTTTATAGAAAAGGAAAGGAAAGGAAAAGGCAAAGCAATGGCAAGTTTTAGTTTCCGTTGATGAAATGAAATGCATTACTAGGAAACTGTAGAATACGAGTATATATACACGGGATATATGAGTATATGTATACGTAGACACACATATACATATGTATATGTATATGTGCATGCAGATGCTTCATTTGTGCGCATTTGTCGAGTGCACTCATACACCAACACTCACATCTACACTCAGAGAGCGACTCACTCACACTCAAAATATCCATTTCACTTATTATCCGGCGCGCGTTTCCTGCATGCAAAAGCCCAGATTTTTACCCCCTCCTCCCCTTCACGGGGGTTACAGGAGAAAGGTTACTCTGTCTCAATGCAAGCCCTGATTGCAGCGAAACATAGCCCGAGACCGAGACCGAGACCGAAACGGAGACGGAGACGGAGACCAGGACCAGACACACTACTCAACATACGACACAATTGTCCATAATTCGCATCATCTAGCCAGCCAGGAGTCACCGTATCCGTCTCCACGTCGCTCTGCTCGTTCTAGCCATTGTTTCGCAAACAGTTTCTCAGCCTCATTCGAACATGGCATTGTATTGTTCTCTCAACAGTTCTTTAATGTCCCGAAAAAACTGCCCCCTATTCCGGTATTCCGGTATTCTGGGACTGACTGGCTGGCTGGCTGGCTGCCTGCCTGGCACGCGTCTTATTCATCCACGGCCGTCAATTTTTGACAGCAACAAAAGCCTGGCCAAGTGCGTCTGGGTCTCCGTCCCTCGCCCTCGCCCTCGCCCACTCCCTCCACAGTTTTCTAATTGAGAATCCTTTATGGCATTTTCAATTGTTTCCATTACGCTTCAATTCAACTGCTCGGATCGGATCGGCTCGGCTCGGCACGGCACTTTTGTTTCCATTACCATTTCCAGTGCTCAAGTGGCGTATTTAAGGTTTGATTTTGCGACAGTATTTGCTCGATTTCTGTTTCAGTTTCGGTTCGGTTCGGTTTCGGCTCGTTTTCAGTTGGGTTTCAGTGTGAAATATTCGAAGTGAATTTTAAACCGTAGGGGAGGAAAGCTGCTTTCTAGGACTCTTGGATGGACTGCATCCCAAAGTGAATGAGTGAGTGAGTGAGTGAGTGAGTGAGTGTGTGAGTGAGTGGCGGCATTCGTATCGGAAGGGACGGAACTCAAAAACCCAAAACTCAAGTGGCACTTGCAGCGTGCGTCCGATACAATGCCGAAACTTTATTAGTGTTGGCAAACAGAGTTTCGTTTCAAATTTGTTTAATATACAATTTTTTGCCTGCGTGTTTATGTTTAATGTTAGGCTAAACAATGCGGCACGTGATCTGAAGGATCTCCCATACACACGGGCATTTTTAATAGAGAGCCGAGAGCCAGGAGTGGCATAATATGTACATATGTATATGTACATGTTTATGTATGTGCGAGGTACTCACCAGGTTGCCGTAGTTGCGAGTGCGGATCATGTTTGATACTCAAGGCATTGGAACTGTAGCCTAAAAAGGAGATACAAAGAATATTGAAATAATATGTGTTTTAAAGAAAGTTAAGTACAAAATACTGAACGAAATGTTGATTAGTTTCTTAGCTCGAAGAACAAGATTACGATCTGGGCAGCCTTCAAGGACATATGTATAATAGTCGGCCAGGGATTAAAGGAAGGACCATTTGTGGTATGCCTTGGTATACAACTACTAAGGGTCGTAGCAGCAGATCCTCCGATCAATCAGAGACATGCACTCATAGAGCTCAGAACGCTTACCAAGAAAGGATACAGGCGGAGGAGGAGACCTCACAATCTACATATACTTTAATAATAAACGAGTGTATATGTATATTCTAATCATTAGGACTTAACCGAGCTGTCAGTTAACACTCTCAGTTGAACAATCAAAGGCAATCATCAACTCAACCGCAAAACAAACATTATCTCAGCAATGCCATCAAAGAACTCGTCAAATCGAAGGAACGGAACGGAGCCGAGCCGCAGAGCCGCAGAGCCGCCCAAGGCGTTGTCCTGGGCGACAACTGTGACATGAGCAACGATGAACACTGAACACTGAACGCTGAACGCTGTGGGATCTTTCATTTTAATGGAATATGATTGCAGAGAGCGAAAACAATGCCGCTGGCAATTCAATTTACAATTTACAATCTCGGCGCGTTCAACTTGTGGCAAACTTCACGCTTCATACGAAATTAAAGCCGCCGGCAGTAGAGGCGGTAGAGGCGGTAGAGGCAGTAGAGGGCACAGGAGAAGATTTTCTGGGTGGTTCAGCACCGCCCGCTGTTGTTGTTTTCGTTGTCACTTATTGTTCTTAAAAAACGACAACTTTTCATATGACATTTTTTGGTTTTGCGCTTTGTGTGGCCACTCAACTGCGAAGAGCACAAAAGACGACCGATTGCAGCAGCCCAGGCCCAGACCCAGACCCAGACCATCACAAGTGGGTGGAGAGTGGGCTTGCTCTGGTGGCTCTGGTGGGGTTGTGCCTGAGTGGAGTTGAGTGAGGTTCGGTTCTCTTCTGTTCTGTTAGATTGGCGGGGTGGTGGCAGTGGCTGGATTGCTGGAGTTGTGAACAAACTTTAGCTGTGCACAATTTTGATGCCATCAATGGCCAACACCTAAATGCGTTCAGCCAAGCTGAAATTTGTGTCTATTCTCTTGCGTGTGACTGTGTGTGTGTGTAGAAAATTTCATAAATTTCCAGATTTAAAATGCCTCCGGGCTATAGCCCATGGAGTGGGTGTCAAGGGACAATATAATTTCAATTAGCATTGGCCATAACTAGCCTAATAAGCGATCCTTTTGCCGCTTAACCTAACCCCTCTGCTCGCTTCAATGCCTCGCAACCCCACAAACACGTGTAGTCGTCACCTTTTTCAGTGTTTTATCTATACATCATAGCCAGCCACAGAACCAGAACCAGAACCCCCCACCCCAGCCAACTGTCTGTCCGTCTGTCAATATTCTATTGATGCTTGTTGATTTGCTTCAATACATCTATCAGCGCACACATTTTGCATGCTTCACTGGTCCCCGGGTCCTGCGTCCTTCATTCGTGTGAATTTCCATCTCCTTGGGCCTGTGGGCCTGTAGTCGTGTGTGTTTTGCATATTTAATGTTAGCTTATGGGTTTTTTGAGTGCCTTCATTTGATGTCTTCGGTTTTGAGGCATAATTTGCTATAATTTTGGGCTTGGAGCAGAACTTTTTGAGTTTATTTGATGCCAATTTGTGATCATTGAAACTTTGGGAATTATTCAAGTTTTGTTTGAGAATTTACAGCAGGCTCGTAGGATTTATATTGAGCGGAAACCGAAAACATTTATATGAAAAGTAGATAAGATGAAGATAGAAGGGAATCACGTTTTTTGACAAGTGTGGAGCAGTCAATTGAAATACTTCTTATCATTTTTATAAAGCATTTGTGGCTTTGAGAGGCTGCATACCAAGAAGAAAGAACTTTATGATTCTGAAAACAAGTTGGGTTCTGTGCAAATATGAACATAAATATTTTGCAAGTTCCTTAACCTTTTGCAATTGAAAAGCAATTCAAAAATGCCATCAAATATGGTTTTGATTTAACCATAATCAATTTCTAAGGCGCCCTCCAAAGTGATTTAGGTAATCAAAAGTTAATGGCTCAAATGTAAGGATTATTTCCCTCAAGATTGATCTAACGTGTTTTGAAGTCATGCTTTCATTCCAATCACTTTTAGCTGTGTTCACCATAATGTATGTTCTCCAATTACCATCCATATCTTCACTCAATTGATATTATTTTAAGTTATATTCACTGAACACTCACCTTGCGATTGGGTCGAACTGTGGGAACCCCACGACGATTTGTAGGAGGAATCTGCAACAGAAAGAGAATATATTTTGAGTACGCATTCGAATTCACTTCACTGTATCTTGTACATAGAAAGATGGCGTCAAGAAGCATTAGCCGACGGCAGAGTACGGGTACTAGTAGGTCTTAAGAAGCTAAGGCATTAATTTATTTACTTGGATTCCATGCGGCATTGGTCAGGACCGCGGCCGACGGTCGTGTTGGCTCACACATTGCCCACTCACCTGCGAAGAGCATTGAGAAATTGCTGAAGCCTCCCGTGGAGCGTGACAAGTAATCAGCGGAGGACTTGATGTCCAGCATTGTGGCAGCGGGGCAACCGCCGTCGGTGCTGCACAAAAACGTTGCTTCGCTCGCTTCGGGATATACTCGCAGGCAGGTAGGTGTCGGTCTCCAATCCGTTTTCCTTTTTCCGTTTTCCGTTTCGGTGCCGAACAATTAGTTGGAATTTCAAATTCAAATTACAATTGCTCTTTGTCTTTCCTTTTCGTTTTTTTTTTGTTCAGCTGTTGTTGTTTTTTGGCAAGCGGTAAATTGGTCGCCGGAGTCCGGAAACTAATAACACGGAGGCAGAGGCAGAGCGAGAGACGGTGACGGTGACGGTGACGGAGAGGCGTCTCCAAGTGTTGTCCACAATTGAATTTATTTAAAAAAAAGGCAATACCGCAAACGAGCAGCGAGCCGACGCGCAGCGGAACAGGAAAAGGAACGGGAACGGGAAAAGTGACGATCGGAACCGGTTACCGTTTACCGGACACCTCGACTTCCGCTCGAACTTTCCAATGCACTTCTGGACCCTTCCCTGCCGTTCGCGTGTCCAACTGATTTATATGTGTCAATGGCTGTTGGTATGTGTGTGTTTGAATGTGTGTGTGCTGTGTGTGTGCTCTGTGTGTGTGTTTTTTGCCCAGTATTTCTTTGCAAGTGTGCGTGCGCTTGTGTCTGTGTGTAGGCCCACAAAATCGCGTAAATCACTTTGGCTAAGAAAGGATGCTTCTGGCTTCTGGTCTACGGGTATATGTTCGGGTGTTGAGCTTAAGCAGTGACACCGGATTGCGTCCGATCTGTGGCACGGCAGCGTAACAATTGATTTCATTCCGTCGTCAAATCGCGCATATCCTGCCCAGGCCACCGTCGTTGTCGCTGTCGCTGTCGCTGACGTTGACGTAGCCGTTGCCTCTGCCTTCGCCTCTGCCCAACGACCAACCCCCAAAGCTTCTCTAATGCCTGCTTCCACATGCCACATGCCACATGCCATAGTGGGGGTGGCTGGTGGCTGGTTGGGCAGTACTTTGGTGGGTGGTGGTTCGCTCCTTTGTATGTATCTATCTGTCTGGCTGGCTGGCTCGCTGGCTCGCTGGCTCGGGTTGGGTTGGGCATGTTGCTGGCTCTGTTTGGCATCGCTGCTGCTGCTGGTGTTGTCCTTTGTTGCGCCCCAGGATATACTTAGGGTTTTAATCCACACCAAAAGTACATCCACCCTCTGGTTCCGTTTCGTTCTCGACTCGAATCACCAATCAGCATCGAGACAAGGTGTGGCCTATCCACGGAGTCCTCCGCTCTCGAAAGCTTTCTCTGCGAGACGAGAGCTTTCTGCAAATGGAGAGCTCCATGATGGAGGGGGAAAGGACGTTGGAGTCGAAGCTTAGAGAAGCCCAAACATTGGGTTCTAATTGTTCGAGTATGTCCTCATCAAAAGCAGCATTTCCAGCGATCTATATGGCTTACACTCAGAAATGAATATATAGTTTTATATTTTTGTATTACGCCAGGACAAAAGCTCTCTCTCAGGCTACCTCTTTCTGTCTCTGTCTCTGTCTATCTCTCACTCTCTCTCTCTCTCTCTGTCTCTCTGTCTCTCTGCGTTTATTGTAGGAGGTTACCGTTTCCACTTGACTAAAAACAAGCCACAGGCCGCTGGTTTGGGAGTTGACTGCCTCTGACACTGCCACCATCTTTCTCTCTGTCACTCTCTCTTCACACACACTATGCCCGTCTCTTTTGCGCGCGGCCACTCAATGGATAGGCGCTGCCGCCGCTCGTGGCAGAGCTTCAGAAGTGGCATCGCCTTTTTAGTGGGTGACACGAAGCAACAAGGACGGATGTATTATCCACTTCCTTTTTCCTTCCACCAAACACAAGGATATTACCGTTTCGTCGTTCGCCTACAACACCCCCAGCTCCTCCTCCGTGCAGCATGTTCCCCATCCCCTCCCCCCCAAAAAGAGTAGGCTGAGGATAGGGAAAGGTGGTGCCGGGAATAGGACGGGAGGAAGGTGGTGCTGGCTTTGAGGGGCAGTGAGGAGTATGGCAAAAACAATGCGCGAGAAGTTGGAGCTTCAAGGATTTGCAGGAGAAATCAACAATAGTTGATTGTGAAAGGCTTTGACTGTTGTAGGGGAAAGAGTGAAAGGTGGGGAAAGGCTAGAAAGGGTGGGAAGCGGAGGTGCACATGCGTTGGCGTCTACGCTGACAGCGCTGCAGCTGCTCAAGTGCAATTGTGGCGCTGCCTGCCTCATGCCTTTGTAACAGCGCGCCTTGTCGTCATGCCCCTAGAAGCAGTCTACAGAAAATGATAGACACGCATACACACAAACACACGTAGGACAGACACCCACACCAACCTTCACTCACTCAAAGACACCCAACCATCTACACAGCTGCCTTTTGGGGCTGGCTGGCTTAATTAATTTTTGAATTCCCCATTGAAATTGTTTTTGCCTCTCTGTTTTCTCTGCCTCTTGCCGCTGGCCAAGTGAGGCGCTGTCCTTGTGTGCTGGTATGGTATGGTTTGGTATGGTATCCCCCTCCTTGTAGGTGGCATGGGCTAATTCATAGGCGTCAACGAACAAATTGTAGTTCCTCACACATAAACGAAAAGCTTTACTAGTTTTCTTCTTTTCCCGTTGTTGCTGTGTGTGTGTGTGTGTGTGTGTGGGGCATGTTTTCCCTAACTATGGGTTTTCTATACCCTATAGAGGAGATAACCCTGTAGAGGAGATTGCCGTCTGGAAAATATTATAAACACCTGAAGAAGAATAAATTGGTTTTGTAAAGTTTCCCTAGCATTTTATTAAAAATTTTAGAGAGAAATGTTGGTAAATGTACTTCTGTTGGTCGTATTTTAGGAATAAACAATCATTTAAATTTATTTTGTTTTCCTAAATGATTAAATTTGATTTTTTTTTTATTTTAATCAAATGGGAATCAGTTAACAGAGAACGTTAAAAATGTTTGGCATGAGGGTATTTTCCTGAATAGCTATGCAGCCAGCCCAAAGAATAAAATGGTTGAATAAAGTGTAAATTTCATAATTTAATTCTCTAAAAAGACTCACAAAGCTTTATTCTTTTATGATTTTTAAAGTATTTCCATCACCGAGTACACATTCTCAATAAAATTGCCCACGAAAAATATGTTAAACATTAACGCAGTACAGGGTGACCATTGTATAGTTCTGCCATGTCCAAACCAGCCTTAGAATATGATAAAAATCGTCGAAAGCATCGGAAATTATTGCGTTCTGGTCTGTAACATCTGGATCGCCAAAAAACAATTTTCATACATACAATTAAAATAGGTACCAAACAGTCGAATTTTTCCACACTTATGTAGCTGTGGCTTGGCCTGCACTCGCATTTTGGTTTTAGTTAAAAACAAATTTCGCTTTTCACCCACGCATTCATGCAATCCATCCACATACAAACAAAGTAAAAAGTTTAGCTCAACTCGAGGAAACTTTTAATTTATGTGTGTATCAGTGTGTGTGTGTGTGCTAGTTCGTGTATCTGTGTGTGGGTGTGTGTGTGTGTTAGTTTGTGAGTTGCTTTGACACGCAGTTATTTAATAAACGTAGCTGGAAGGCAAAAGTGAGGTCTCGTCTCGTCTCTCTCTCTCTCTCTCTCTTTCCCCCACCTCCCACAACAACCTCTTGCCATCATAAGCTCTCAAAGAGTGTGTATGTTTGTATGTCTATGTGTGTGTATGTGTGAGCCCCTGCTAATGGCATCTAAAATGGCTAAATAGCAATTTGCTGTTCTCCGCCAGAGGAAAACCAAGTTTCACTTGGCTCAAAATGTTTGCCTGTGGCCCGCTGGACGTGGACTGGGCCAAAAGGGAAAGCTTTCCTCTGGATAAAGTTCTCCCTCTACCTCTGTGTCTTAGCTACGCTTAACATTTTAATTGCATTCATTATGTAATTTCATTTGCACGCTTTTGGGCGAAAAAACTTTAAATTAATTTCTTTTGTTGTGCGATTTCCGCAATTTTGCGACGCCGTAACATTTCCGTCGCCCCCAAAAAGCTGTGGTTACAACGCCTCCGTTTACGCCTACGCCTATGCCCACGCCCACGACCATTCTCCTGCCCACCCGACACGCCCGCAAGTGAAGTGTTTTAAGTTGACTTTAAGCCACAAACATTCATTCATTCATCTGTCTTTGGAACAGCTCTCGTATCGTCCTTCTGCTGCTTCAGTGACAGGACTACATCCCCACAATCAATGCATCAAGGCCTGTCCATTTGTGTTGTGTGTGCAGCCAAAATATTCAGCGGAGCGTCAAGACAAACATGACGACACCACGGCAGTGAATCACTGAATCACAGAACTATGGCCAAGACAGGGAGCATATTGTCCGGGTCTGAGTCCAACCACTGAGCCACTGAACCACCGAGCAGTTAATAAGAAACGCAATCAACGCTGCGATTTGTTTTCTCAAGGCTAGAGAATGGGGGAATGGGTGGGGGGGGAGTCCAGGCTGCTAATATCTAGTATGCGTCTTGTCTACGGAGACACTATACGAGCACGAGTATATGTGCAACACCGAAATGGCCCAGCCTACAATAACAACAACTGGAAGTCGGACACGTGGCCATTAATGACGTATGAATGATGTAACACGCGACGGAGTCGAAGTCGCTGCTGACGCGGCACGTGGCCCACGGGCCCGGCGAGGCATGACAGGCCAAGAGTCACCCGGGGCAGCTCCTCGTTGCGGGTCTTTAAT